GAATTTTTTTTTATTTTGTGTTGAAGTAGAGTTGATTTACAATTTAATTTTAACTTTAAATTTTAGTACCCATGGTACTATGTTTTTGTGGCTATGGTATTGGGCAGCTCAGTTATGCTCATGGAATATTTTTGCTTTGGTTGTATTGTTTTCCTTTTCTTCTTTTTAGACAGCCACTTCTGGTCATTATATTCACTTCTCATCCGCCAAATACCGATGCATATAAGGATGGAGGTGATCCTTTATGGTGTTCTTTCCCGTGGTTGTATTTCTTTCTTTCTTTTTTAAATCACCGAGTATTTTTGAATAAAAAAACAAGAGCCGAAGTCAGTCATGGACAGTCAATTAGGACACAACGTAGAATGCTGTGGGTGTAATAAGGCAAATTCACATACTGCCTTTTTCCCCCTGACCTTTTATCCCCTTAGTGTAACAATACTAGTGCCTCTAATTCTGCCTTATATAAATATTGATATAAACCTAGTTCTTGGCTTTTTCCTGACTTAGCTGGTTATTCTCTCCTGGACTTGTCCAGTTTGATACTGTCTCTCCTCTGAAGTGGGCTGATCCTGAGAGCCTTCTGGAGACAAGACCTGGTCTCATGCAGTGCTTTCTTGGATCTCGTCTGGCCAGAGTGGAGAAGACTGTCTCTGCTCAGAGGCCTAGACTTCACCACACGGCACCCATGTGGTCTGAGTCTGTCGTTCAGCAGTGGCAGACGGCCGAGCCTCTCCTAGAGGTGACAGCTGAGACTGGTTATGCTGTGAATACATCACAGGAGAAAAGAAACCACAGTGCTGAGAGACTTCTTGCCACTCCTGGAAACCATGCAAGCCCCAGTCAGAGGACTTCCAGCCCTGACATCAGAGACAGGCAGACAGACAAGGGCCACTGCTAAAGAGCAGGCCTGCGGTACAGTCCTTTTCAACAGAATTTTCTTAAATGTTCACTGCCGAAAAGTTAAAAAAAAAACACCAAAACCAAACATCATAAACAAACGAGTGGAAAGTTAGATTACAGAGCAGAATGTACAGATAACCCCAATTTTATAAAATATTTATTTTATAAAAATAAATACATTCCCACCTATGTCATACAGTAGGAGTTAATTAATATTTTATCATGTGTGTGGGGATCTGTAAAATATACTTGTGGTGCTGTTTCAGAACATGTGTGTGGGATCTGTAAAATATACTTGTGGTGCTGTTTCAGAACGTAAATTTGTTACAAGGAAGGACTGACTCCATGTTGGGTCTGTTTACTTTAACCTTTGCTTCCTGTGGCTTTTGTTCATTGTCCATACCTAATGGAGGAGCTTCCCTGGTGATTCAGATGGTAAGGAATCTGCCTGCAATGCAGGTTTGATCCCAGGGTTGGGAAGATCCCCTGGAGAAGGGAATGGCTACCCATGGCAGTATTCTTGCCTGGAGAATTCCATGGACAGAGGAGCCTGGTGGGTTACAGTCCATGGGGTTGAAAAGAGTTGGACACGACTGAGCAACTAGCACACGCACAATGGCCTGCCTCAGGAACCCTATCCCTCGGCCTGAATGTTAAACCAAAATGACTTTGTTTAGGACCCTGTCCATTTGTGGATGGCTACAGGAAGGAAGATATTAATACATCCCCTACCTGAGGCTAGCTATTCCAGGAGATATTTGTAAGATTAATGGTCTTTTTTTAACTTTACCTCCTCACCCTTACTCCCATCTGTAAAATAACCTGGCATCCAGACCTCAAGATGATGGTTATTTTGAGACATTATTCTGCCATCTTCTTGGTCTGCTGGCTTTCTGAATAAAGTCGTATTCCTTACCTCAACACGTCATGTTTAGATTTATTAGCTAGTCCTCCGTGAGCAGAGCGGTAACAAGTTGTACAGAGTACAAGCAGTAACAGTATACAGTTCTTTGGCAAGGGGAGAGAGCAGAGTTCATGGCATAAAAATAAATTTTGCCCTTGCTCATCCCTCTGCCTGGAAAGCTTACTCCTGAGATACTCTCACAGTTTGCTTGCTGTCTTTATCTAGGACACATTTCCAGTGCTACAGCTCCAAGAGACCTCCTCCTGCATCCTTTCTAGATCAGCACCTCCAGCAAGCCTTCTTTCCTGTGATTTGAGTCCTTTTCGTCCCTCTTATCACTTACCAACATTACCTTACATACCCATTTATTTGTCTGGGAGAGTAGACTTTGTTCTTCTTTACAGTTTTATCCTCAGTGTCTTAAACACAGCCTGGCACATAGGAAAGTGCTCAATAAATCTGTTAAATGACTAAAATGTAACAAAGGTTACATTCTTCTCTGTCCCTAGCTCATCATGTCCTGCCTCCACAAGCCCTGAAGTTCAAATTCAGCTCTCCCCTTCCCCATACTCCCACCAAGGTTCCAGAGGTCACCTTAGAGTGGTAGCTTTCAAACTTTTCTGATCATGACCCTCAGAAAAATATATTCAATCTCCAGTGCTCACACCTGCACATGTATATGTCACTGAAACAACCTAAACACCCTCATTGTGAGCAACGTCTCCTACTTTCTCTCCCCCTCTCCCTTCCTGCTAAAAGAAAGTCTCTTTCTGTTTCACTTTCTCACTTTGATGCTGGTCTCCACCCCTTCTTGGCTGGAGACCACAGACCAGTGGGTCACCACAGCCTAGGGCAGTGTTTCTAGGAGTGGTCGGAGGGCTCATTTGTATCCTAGACTCAGGACAACCACCACAAATCAGATTCCTGGGTCCAGGCCAGACTGGTAAATGAGAATCTCCCTGGGAAGCCTGTCTGCTTAACCACTCCTCTTCCCTGGCCACCTCAGGTGATTCTGTGGTCTGATTTGAGAGCCACGACTTAAGAGATTATGAGTATCCTTAGCCTTTTTGGGGACAAGTGTTGTTGGGCAGGGAAGGGGTTGATCTTCCAGTCCGGTCCAGCTCAGCCCCTGAGGGGTGGATCAGATGATCCCAATTTTATAAAAGTAGATCCGTTCCCACCTAACCCCTTGCACTCCAGTCCCTCTGCCAGGGAGCACTTCTGGGAATTCTGTCTCTGCTTTCCCGCATTTCCCCCCTAGGGCCACCAGAGCTCTCGGGCCACACCCAGCAAATGGGCCCCACTTTCCCCAGGGCCTCAACCCCTCCTTCCTCCTGCTGCTCTCCCCAGTCTCTCTTTCCTTCACACAAAATCACCTCCTTCTCTTTTCTTTGCTCTTACCATAAGATTCAACAGTCCTCCCCTCCTTCAGCCCTTAGAATAACAACAAAAAATTACCATGTCTATGGTGGCCCATTTCTGTTCCACCCCCAGAAGTATAATCCCAGAAATACTAATGATGAGGCCTTCACCCTTCCACTGGGATGCACTACAAACTTCTTTTGATGCCAGCAATACTACACCCCTTTAGCCGAACAACCTCACACAACTTACATTTCGAAAACTTGCCACAAGTATATTTACAGATCCTCACATGCATAGTAAAACATTAACCCCTAGAGTATGCCATACACCCAAGCTAAGCACTCTACAGATAATATCTTATTTAATTCTTGAAGTAGCCCTCAGGGATAGATACTATATCACCCCCCCATCTTAGAGATGAGATAACTGAAGCACAAAATAATCTGACCAGATTTCCATAGCTGTGAACTGTAAACGGTGTAGCTCTGGGGCTGAAGCCTCAGGGGCTAACAGAAGGGAAGGATTCTCTTTTGTTCATAAAGCTGTAGCTTAGAGGGGCCTTGGGGTCAAAGTGCTTGAGTCGCAGTGTGAAGCAGGATATAGTGATGTGCCTCTTTAGGATTTTGTTCTTACAAGTGTTCAGTTGCTGGACTCAGAATACTGTTTGTCACGCAAGGACTGCCCCTTCTGCCTTTGACTCATTTCTCTCCTCAGTCCTCTGACAAGACCTCCTAAAGCGGAATTTGGGGGTTCAGAAGTTGCACCCTGCCTGTATGCCCAGGAAGATCAGTCTGGATCCCCTGCAGAGGTTTCAATTTGGCCTTAAATTCCTTTATCAAATCCTAAGGAAAAAAGCCCCAAGATGGCTCAGGTACTATTAGCAGTAGTTCCTTCTAGGGATGGATTTTTCATCCAGGTGCTTATCTGCACATTCTATTTCCTTCAATTAAGATGCATTACTTTTTTCAATACTAGTTAAACATTTTTTTTCAAATTAAGAAAACTTGGATATTATGACTTCGGGGAAATCAGCCTAACACATATGGGCCTTGATATGCAATTTACAAAATATTAATCATATTGGCCACAAGTCCAACTGCCTGAGTTCCAGTCATACTGCTACCAAAATAATAACTGTGAGCCCTGGGCAAGATCCTTAACCTCCATAAAAATGGGGATCGTAGTTAGCACTTTGCTTGTACTATTAGCAGGCACTTAGCAATTGCAACCACCGTCCTCGCTTCAGATACTGTTTTGTGTTTTAATTCATTTAATCCTCAGCACAAGTCGGTGAGGTAGTTACCCATGTAACCCCCATTTTACAAGTGAGACCCTGGAAGGTCCTCAGCCAATAAACAGCTAAATGGGATTTGAGCTCAGACAGCCTGACACCAGAATCTAGCTTTAAGCTACTTGGTTAAAGTTGCCTGTCAAAAAGAGTTGTTGGGGGAAAAAAAAAAAGTTGTTGGGGGTATTACATGATGGAATGCTTGTAAAGCTCTCAGCAAAACTCTGGCACTTAGTAAGTGCTCAATTAACAGCGCTCAACTTCCTACAGTCACGTTAATGTGTTTTATGTTTATTACAAAACAAACACACGAGAAAACACGATTCAGTAAAACCTCAAGACGACTGTTGAAACGGGCGGGATCTGGCCCGGGCGGGGGCGGGGTGTGGGGCGGGCGCCCACCCGGCAACGGGAGCGGGGCGGGAGGAAGCGGCGCGGCCGGGGCGCGCCGGCCGCTCTGCGGGGCCCCGGGGGCGGAGCCAGGGAGGCCCCGCCCAGCCGCCACCTGCGACAGGTGGAGCGCTCGGCGCCGGGCGCTCGGCCATGTCCGCGGAGGGCGCTGGGCAGGGGCCGGGGCCCGAGCCGGGGCCGCTCTGCCCCGAACACGGCCAGGCTCTCAACTGGTTCTGCTGTTCCGAGCGACGGCTCGTGTGCGCCGCCTGCACGGAGCTGGGCGGCCGCTGCCGGGGGCACCGCATCCGCCGGGCCGAGAAGCGCGCGGAAGAGCTGCGGGTGAGCGGGCGTGGGCGCCGGCAGGCGGCGGGCTCCGGAAGAAGGGGGCGCCGCGTGGGGGAGGCGCTCAGAGAGACCCAGCAGGGGCCCGGCAGCCGGCCGGGGAGCCTGGCTCCGCGACAGGCACCGGCTGTAGAGCGAGGCGGTAGAGGGTGTGGCTTCTGGAGTCCAGCTGACCCGAGTTCGAGTCCCACCTTCGCCAGGTCCTCCCTGTGAGTCTCGTAATCTCTGAGCCTCAGTGTCCTCATTTGTAGTTTGGAGGCATTTATTAAAGGTGTTGCTCGGTGGGGCTGGCTCTGGGCAGTGAAGGGCCCCGCTGCTCTAGGTGCCCGGGACAAGGCGTGCCTCGGCTACCGCCCCTTTGGAAACTTGGTAACTCTCCTCGTTTCCTAGCCCCTCGACGCAAAGCTCCTCCCCTCATCCGCCCTGCAGCCTTCCTGGTGAGGCGACTTCTCTTCCCTTTCAGGATTGGCCTGGACTGTACTTGACGCCGGTTTCACTTAGGTAAACGGAGGGGGCGGGGAGGATGTCAGGAGGTTCCTACTGGAACCCTTCACTTAGGCTTTCTTTCTCCTCACCTCCGCTTCCACCTTGGCTTCCTGCCACCAACCTCCCCTGAGCTGCTGAGATTGGAGAGTCAAGTCACCATGGGGCTTCCTATCTCCTTCCACCCCACCTTTGGTCCCTGGGGGTTTCTTTGCAATTTGATTAACCTGCTTGATTCTCCCAACCTCTCCCTGGAGGTCTGCGCAGCTGTGACGCCTGAGGGCTCAGACTGGACTGTAATAAACCCACTGACACGGTGCTGGGGAGAGGGATTCAGTTACCCAACAGCACCTGAGAAGCTCCCGGTGGGTACCAAGTAGGACCACCAAGTTGGTGATGATGAAAATAAGCTTGGATAATGGGGTATAATAAACTGGCACGATGGATGGAAACTTTGCAAGTTTCAAAGCACCTAAATATCCATCATCTCATCCCATCCAGACCTTTGAAGGTGTGGTCCTACCTACCTTTAGTAGATGAGGGAGCCAGCTGAAGCCCAGAACAGGGCAGTAGCTTTCTTAAGGTTCCGAATGCTCAGGGGCTGGACCAGAGGAGTCATTGACTAGGCCAGAGAAAAGCCACCTCTTTGCGTCAGTGTTTGGAGGGAGGAAGTGTTGCTAATGGCAGTGAGGACGTAATAAGACCTTTTTAAAAAAGTTGCCATCAGGGCTGAATCTGAGTGGTAGAAGGGGTTGAAGCCTGGACCAGGGGAGCAAGCCTGCTATTTGCTTTGGAATGGACTCTGCCTGGGGCAGGGGGCTTTCCCTGAGCCCTCCTAAGGCCCTTAGCATATTCATCTTACCTGCCTGGAGGGGATGTGTCTTGCCTTCTCTCCTTCCAATTTATTTATTTATTTCTCTCCTTCCAATTAAAAAAAAAGACAAAACATTTTTAGCTGTGCTGGGTCTTTGTTGCTGCCCAGGCTTTTCTCTATTGGTGGCAAGCTGGGGCCATTCTCTAGTTGCGGTGTGCGGGCCTCTCGCGGCCGTGGTCTCCTCTGTTGCAGAGCACAGGCTTCAGGGCATGCGGGCTCAGTAGTTGTGGCTCCTGGGCTCCAGAGCACAGGCTCAATGGCTGTGGCACGCGGGCTTAGCTGCTCCGAGGCATGCCGGGTCCTCTCAGACCAGGGATCGGCGGACTCTTCACCACTGAGCCACAGAGGAAGCCCCCCGCCTCCAGTTTTGAGTAAACTGTGGGTTCTTTGCAGACTTCCCTGTCCCACTGACCAATCAAAGAAATTTTGCCACAGGGCAGGATTGTTACTAAACTGGGCAAAAACACCATCAGCTCAGCAACCTCTCTGTTACCTTCTGGATACCTGCCCTGTAGCTTTTCAGAAGCTAGTCTCACTTCCCTCAGTCCTGTAGTGTGTGGTGGCCACAGCTTTCTTTCAGTCAACTCATTTCTTTAACTTGGTGTTTGGGCCAGTGAAGTGTTAAGACTGAGTCCTGATTGTGGAGGGAAGGATTTACAAGAACTGCCTGGAAGAGACCGCTGAGTCGCCCTTGGCAGATGGAACTGGGGCAAAGCTCTTAGGGGAAATGGTGGCGGAGCTGCTGCTTGGAAGTGCTCCAGGTGTTACCTGGAGAAGTGGAGTGACAAAGCTGGACCTGGCCATCTCCATGGGCAAGTCACTTCTCTGTGGGCCTACGGCGTCTTCATTTCTAAAAACCCTGCCCTGCTCTCAGGGCCGATGCTCACGGCTTCGGGAGCTGTGAACTGCTGAAACTCTTGTGGCCAAGGAAGTGGGTGTTCATTCATCCAACAAATACTGAATATTTATTCAGGGTCTTCTATGTATGGAAACTCTCTTCTAGGTAGTAGGACATAGAGAATAAGTTAAAGTCATGATGCTTATGGGGGGCGACAGGTACCAAAGAAGTAAACAGACTCATGATATACAGTCAGGGAGTGATACATGCAAGGGAGAAAAAAAAGTAATGATATGAGGTGTGGGATGGTCAGGGAAGGCTTCTGAAGAGGTGACATGGAGTCGAGGAACAAGACATAAATGGGAGACAGAAGGAGCAACAGGTGCCAAGGTGCTGAGGTCAGGACGGGTTTAGTGTATTTATGGAACAGTAAGAAGGCTCAGACAGTAAAGTGTCTGCCTACAACGCGGGAGATCCGGGTTCAGTCCCTGGGTTGGGAAGATCTCCTGGAGAAGGAAATGGCAACCCACTCCAGTATTCTTGCCTGGAAAATCCCATGGATGGAGGAGCCTGGTAGGCTATAGTCAGTCTGTGGGGCTGCAAAGAGTCGGACACAACTGAGCGACTTCACTTTCACTTTCAAGAAGGCCGGAGTAGTAGGAGCTCATTGGACAGAAAGGCAGAGTCCCATCAGGTAGGGCCTTGTTGGTTACAGCCTCACTGTGGGTGTGTTGGAAAGCCATGAGAAGGTTTTGAGCTGGAATGTGACTTGATCTGATTCCCTTACTAAAGGTGGCAATGGCTAACGAGGATGCTGGGGAGGTGGTCAAGAATGAAGGCCCTGTTAGGAGACTCTGTCAGCAGTTCCTGTGGGAGATCATGGTGATCTGGGTGGAACAGCAGAAGTAGAGGTGATGATAAGTGGCCAGAGGAGAGAGAGACTTTGGAGAAGAGCCTGGTAGGATTCACTGATGGATTAGATGTGGGGTTGGAGCATAACTCCTGGAGTTTTGGTCTGGGTAGCGAGATTGATGATTGGAAGTACTGTTTAATGAATGGGGATTCCTTGGGGAAGAGCAGCTTAGGAAGCCATGTTTTTGTGCTCAGTTGCAGGTGTGGACAGTTAGGGGGCTGGATATGAAGGAAGAGTGCATGTAAGAAAGTGATTATGATGGACCATGGGATTTGAGGATCAAGAGGGAAGCAAGGCCACAAAAAGGGATGATGGACAGTGAAAAGTGCTAAGACTAATGTACTGGTGACTCCATCTAAGCTGAAGGATTATTGGAATGGAGATTCAAGGGTATGTGAGCTAGGATGGAAAGTGGTGGGTAGGATGTGGGATCCTTGAAGATTTTGGAAGTGGCATAGTTTTCAATAATGATGAGTTCCGAGATAAGACCATGGGAGTAGGTGGCTGAGGTGGGGTAAAAGGGGAAAAAAAATCACTGGAACCGAGTGAACGGACCAACTGTGGATCCAGATACCATGGATGTCATTTGTGTTGCAGAACAAGATTGTGGACCAGTGTGAGAGGCTGCAGTTACAGAGTGCTTGCATCACCAAATATGTGGCTGACGTCCTGCCAGGGAAGAACCAGAGAGCAGTGGTAGGTAATTCTTTCCCTTCCCCCTCTCCTCTGGCCCCCCTCCTAGGGTAAGCTCTCAGTCTTAGGGGCTTGGACCAGCCTAGAGTCCCTTCCCAACCTCACAGACCCATTGTGCTACTGACAAAGCTGAATGCTCAGGAAGGATGGTTTCCTCTTTCTTGGTTTTACATCTGGGCAGAGTGGGTTTCTCCTAGCATGCATTTGATGCAAAGACTGATTAAAAAATAACTTTCTTCAGGTAAAAGATCAGATGATTCTTCTATCATTTTAATTCTTTTGGGCTCAGCCCCAATATTGTAAAATAACCAATGGCTTTTACATTGCACATTCTTTATGACAGTCTTAGGCAGTAGGTGGTAGTAATATCCCTGTTTACAGATGGAGACATGAATCCTCTAGAGGTTAATTGACTCACAGAGTCAGTTCTATGAGCTGAATCGTCTGACTACCAGAAGGTGATCCCTCTGCAGCACCTCACTAGTGCGTGCGTGCTAAGTCGTGTCCAACTCTATGGATTGTAGCCCACCATGGTTCCTTTATCCATAAGATTCTCCAGGCAAGAATACTGGAGTGGGTTGCCATGCCCTCCTCCAAGGGACCTTTCTGACCCAGGGATCGCACCTGTGTTTCTTGCATGTCCCGCATTGGCAGGCAAGTTCTTGACCTCTAGTGCCGCCTGGGAAGCCCACAGCACCTCACTGCTGATCCTGTATTCAGTTGACTCATTGCGGCTGCTCCCTCTTAGTCTCAAGTATGCCCATCAAGGGCAGGGGCTGTGAGTTTCTTCCTGCACGTCCCTTCCCTGCTTCCCCAGAAGCACATGGAACAGGCTTGGCACTATTTTAGTCAAAAAATAAATGATTTTGATTACAAGGAATAGAATCCAGTTGAACTACTAATAGCATAAGCAAAACAGAATTTCTTGGATTTTAGAGACATAAATCTTTCAGAAACTAAAGGGAACGAGAAGCAGTCACAAACAAGCTGCTAGAAGTCCAAGCAGCTCTTCTCTGTCCGTCTCTGCTTCTCTTTGCATGATGATTTCTCTCTCTTTTTCTTCATCCTTTTCCTGTCTTAACTGCACTGGCTAGGACCTCAGCGCCATGTCAAATAGAAGCTTTCATAGCAGGTGCTGATTTTGAGGGGAATACTTAACATTTTTGCCATTTATTTGATTACTTAACAAACCTCTGTAAGCACCTGCCACACACCAAGCCTAATTGGTCTATGTGCTAGAGGTTCCACAGTGAACAAAACATAGGCAAATTCTTGTTTTCATGAAGCCTACATTCTAGTCAGGGGATGGGATGTGTGTGTGTGCATTTAGTCGTGTCTGACTCTTTGTGACCCTGTGGACTGTAGCCTGCTAGGCTCCTCTGTCCATGGAATTTTCTAGGTAGGAATACTGGAATGGGTTGCCACTTCCTACTCCATAGGATCTTCCCGACCCAGGGATTAAACTCCTGCACTGGAAGGCAGGTTCTTTACCAGTTGAGCCACCAGTGGAGAGGGCTAATAACAAATAAAATATATGCTATGTCAAAAGGTGATAACCTCTTTGGAGAGAGAGAACACAGGAAGGGCGTGGGTCATGTTGAGGATGGGGTTGTAGTTACACATGCTTGTGATGAGGAATCGCCTCGTTAAGAAGATTGAAATTTGTACAAAATTTCCAAGAGGTGAGGGAATGGACTGGGGAAGAGTGTTCCAAAAAGAGAAAGGCAAGTGCAAAAGCCCGGAGATGGGAGCGTACCTGACATGCTGGAGGGGAGTAAACAAGTAAGAAGACAAGGAGATGAAGTCAGAGCTATGCATGGAGCTAGGTAGAATCCTCACGGGCCACACCGAGACTTTGCTTTTCATTTGGGGAAGGCAGGAAGTTATCAGAAGTAAGATGATATGACTTAAGGTTTAAAAGGAGTGGCTGCTGCGTTGAGAAGTGACCATAGGCAGCAAAGGTAAAAACAGGGAGACTGATGAGGAAGTGTTGGAGTAATCCAGGTGAGAGCCGAGAGGGGTTTGGACCTGAGTGAGTGTGGTAGGAATGGTGAGAAGCGGCATATATTAATATATACTCTCTGAGGGAAGAAAGAGCAGGATTTGCAGATGGATTGGATGTAGGCTTTGTGAGAGAAAGGGAGCGGGGATCAGGTTAACTCTTATTTTTTTTGATGTGAGCAACTGGAGGGATGGGGCAGCCATTTACCAAGGTGGGGAAACGTTGCGTGTAGAGTGATGACTGGTGAGGGAGGAGACTAGAGTTCAGTTTTTTACATGTCCAGTTGGAGGTGACTATTAGGCATTCAAGTTAAGATGTTGAGTAGATGGCTGGGTTCACAAGTTAGGGGAGGACTGGGCTGGAGACATAAATGTATTGGTGTGTAAGTAAGGGTGGGGCTTCCTATGTAGCTCAGTCGGCAGAGAATCTGCCTGCAATACTGGAGACCTGGGTTTGATTCCTGGGTTGGGAAGATCCCCTGGAGAAGGAAATGGCAACCCACTCTAGTATTCTTGCCTGGAGAATCCCATAGACAGAGGAGCCTGGCAGGCTACAGTCCATGGGGTCTCAAGAGTCAGACACGACTTAGTGCCGTCTGTCTTATTTTTTATAAGTGAGGGTATAAAGTGAAAGTCATGAGAAATGATGAGACCACTAAGTGAGTAAAATACAGATAGAAAAGAGTAGGGGTCCAAGGACTGAGCCCTAGGGCACTTTGACATCTAACCATTGAGAAGATGGGAACAAGCAAAGTGGACCAAGAAGGAAGCTATTGGTGAAATAGGAATAAAACTGTTAATAAGAGTGTTGTGTCCCACAATAGGTTTCAAGGAGGTGGGTTCAGATTTTGCAGAGAGATCAAGTCAGGGGAGACATGAGAATGGACTCTTTAATAACATGCTCCTCATTGGAGATCCTGACAGGAGTTTGGTAGAGTATTGTGGTAAAAGTGTGATCAGAGAGAGTAGAAAAAGAGCAATTTGAGATAGTTGGCACAGATGACTCTTGAGGAATTTTGCTGTAGAAGGAAGCTGAGAAATGGGATGATAGTGGAGGGGGATATCCATCAAGACATGGGTATGCCATCAACAAACAAGCAAATGTTTGTTGCTTGGTTTTTAAGATGCGGGAAATGACTCTGTGTGTGTCTCCTGATGGGAATTGCCCAGTAGAGAGGGGAAAATTAATGATGCAGGAAAAGGGGACAATGTGGTTTAGCAGAGGGGGTAGGAGCTAGTAAATAAGTGGAAGTATTGGCCATAGGTAAGAGCACAGGCAGTTTATCCACAGAAATAGGGCAGACAGAGTGTATGGGCACAGGTGAAGGTAGATGGGTAGGTGATGGGCAGAGCCTGTTGAAGTTCTCTTCTGAGAGCTTCTGATTGCTTCTCTTTTCCCTTCTGATTGCATCTATTTTACATTATTATTTCCTCTTTATGGTTTTTTCCTTCTGATTTTTTTGGGGGGATTTACTCTATAGTTTGTTAACTTCCTGAGTTGAACACAGCCTATTGATTTTAGTCTTTTTTCATTTTCAAAGTGAGCATTTAAGCTATATATTTCCTTCTAGTATTGATAGAGGGATACCCCACAGTTTTGATGTAGTATTTTCAGTTTCATTCAGTTATAAGTATTTTAAAATCTCCACTATGACTTTTTTCTTGTGCTATGAGTTATTAGATTTTAAATTATTTTATTATTAATTTTTTTTCCATTTATTTTTATTAGTTGGAGGCTAATTACTTTACAACATTGCAGTGGGTTTTGTCATACATTGAAATGAATCAGCCATGGATTTACATGTATTCCCCATCCCGGTCCCACCTCCCACCTCCCTCTCCACCCGATCCCTCTGGGTCTTCCCAGTGCACCAGGCCAGAGCACTTGTCTCATGCATCCAACCTGGGCTGGTGATCTGTTTCACCCTAGATAATATACATGTTTCGTTGCTGTTCTCTTGAAACATCCCACCCTCGCCTTCTCCCACAGAGTCCACAAGTCTGTTCTATACATCTGTGTCTCTTTTTCTGTTTTGCATATAGGGTTATCGTTACCATCTTTATTATTAATTTTTATACTTTAAATTTTTCAAATATGTTTTTACCTTTTCCATTAGTATCAGTATCTTTTGTTTGTTTTTTGACCGCACCCTGCGGCATGCAGGATCTTTGTTCCAAGACTAGGGATCAAATTTGTGCCCCCTGCATTGGCATCTCAGAGCCTTAACCACCAGACCTCCAGGGAAGTCCGTTATTAAGCTTATTAATAAGTTCAAATCTTCTCTATATTTACTATTGCCAGATTTTTGTTATTACTGGCAAAGGCATTTACATTTTCACACTATGCTATGAATTTGCCTATTTTTCCTTATAACTTTGTCAGTTCTTTTTATATTCTCGGTGCTATTTATTAAGTGTACATATTTAAATTTGTTATATGTTCCTGGTAAAACATCCCTTTTGTCACTTTTCAGTGACATTTTATGAACAGAATCCTTTTTACCTTCAAGATTATTTTGTCTTTTACTTATTACTAGACCAACAAGTCTTTCTGGATATAGCAGTTTCTTTTCTTTTACTTTCAACTTCTTATGTTGTTCCAGGTGTGGTTTAGAAACTGGATTTTGTTTCCTTTTAAAAAAGTCCAGGGCTTCCCTGGTGGCTCAGTGGTAAAGAATTCTGCCTGTCCGGCCGGAGACACAGGTTTATCCCTGATCTGGGGAGATCCCACACTCCGTGGGGCAATTAATCGCCTGTGCTACACCTATTGAGCCTGTGCCCTAGAGCCTGGGAACTGCAACTACCGAGCCCGTGGGCCACAGTTACTGAAGCCCGCGCCGCCAGAGCCCATGCTCTGCGATGAAAAAAACCCCGCCATGAGAAGCCTGCGTTCCACAGTAAAGAATAGCCCCGCTTTCAGCAATTAGAGAAAAACCCATGCAGCAACAAAGATCCAGCACAGTCATAAATAAATCAATAAAAATTTTTAAAAAGGTTAAAAAATATTTATAAAAAAAGTCTAATCTGATAACCCCTGCCTTTTAACTAGTGAGTTTAATCAATTTATTCTATTGAGATTACAGATATACTTAGGTTTATAGCTGTCATTTTATGTTTTCTGTGTCTGCTTAGTCATGTCTGACTGTTTGTGACCCGATGGACTGTAGCCTGCCAGGTTCCTCTGTCCATGGAATTCCCCAGGCAAGAATACTGGAGTTAGTTTCCATTTCCTATTCTGGGGATCTTCCTGACTCAGGAATCGAACCCACATCTTTTGCGTCTCCTGCATTGGCAGGTGGAGTCTTTACCGCAAGTGCCACCTGGGAAGCCTGTTTTCTATGTAGTCCACTTTTGCAATTTTTTGAAATTAATTTTTACTGGAGTATAGTTGATTTACAATGTTGTGCTTCTGCTATACAGCCAAGTGAATCACATACATATACATATAGCCACTCTTTTTTAGATTCCGTTCCCACACAGGTCATTGCAGAGTGCTGAGTGGCGTTCTCTGGGCTGTACAGTGGGTCCTCAGAGTTCTCTATTGTGTGTATAGTAGTGTGTCTGTGTCAGTGCCAGCCTCCTAACTTATTCTTCCCTGCTGAGTCCACTTTTTCTGTGCTGTTTTTCCTTCCTTTCCTCCCTTCTTTTGATTTAATCAACCCCATCCTCCCTTCTTTTTTCCTGTGCTAGCTTGAAAGTTGTATATTCTATTTATGGTCTCTTTTTGGTCCCCTTGAGAATTTTTTAATTAATTAAGAATATATATATTTTTTACTATGCTGGGGCTTCGTTGCTGCACACAGGCTTTCTCTAGCTGCTGTGTGCAAGTTTCATTTTAGTTAAAGCACATCTTTTAATAATTCCCTCATTCATAGAAAGTTTCCCCCCCTTTTATTTTTAAATCAGAGAGGTCTTTACTGTACTTTCATTTTTGTGTGATGGTTTAGATGAGTGTACAATTCTAAAGTAAATCACAAGCCCCATTCAGAGCAGCTGGTTGAGTCCTCAGCTTTTGATTACACTGGTCTTCAGTTTCCTTTCTACTTTTGGACTCCAAGGGATTTCCTTTTCTAAGCTGCCAGAAGTAGCTTCACTTTAAAAGGATGCTTTGGGCTATTTTTCCAGCATTTCTGTGTTTTGGTCTGTGTGTGTGTGTGTTAATCACTCAGTCATGTCTTACTCTTTGCAACCCCATGGACTATAGCCCACCAGGCTTCTCTGTCCATGGGATTCTCCAAGCAAGAATACTGGAGTGGGATGCCGTGCCCTCCCCCAGGGGATCGTCCCAAGCCAGGGATCAAACCCAGGCCTCCCGCATTGCGGGTTCTTTACCATCTGAGCCACCAGGGAAGCCCATGTTTTGGTCTAGGAGGGATTTTAGTTTCTTCAGGCATATCTTTGGAAAGCAGACTTTTTTTTTTTTCTCTGCTATTTTTTTCTGGGAATGACTCAAGAAATATGTTGAAATTGACTGCAGCCTTCTTGTCAGGGAGTATCTAATGCATCTTGGGTCTGTTCTTGATCCTGTTCACACAGTACAAACAGGACTGCAGGGACCCACCCGTGGGAAAGGCATTGAGGTGGTTTAGAGAGAGGAGCAAGAGCTAATGATACCGAATACGTATGTGCCAGGCTTTGTTCTTCTTACTTTATGTATATTGGCTCACTTGACCCTCACAGTAGCCTTATGAGGTTGGTACTATTAGTATCTTCATTTGACAGATTAGAAAACTGAGGCCCAGGGAAAATAAGTAACAACCTTCCACAGTTAGTAAATAGAGCAGCTAATATTTAAACCCAGGTGCTGTCTTACAGCCTAATTTCCTAACCACTGTGTTATGTTGCCTCCAAAGAACACAGGAGTTGGAACCTGAACCGCTGGGTTCACTGGGCCATTCACTCAGTCCCTCTCTCTTCTGCTTTGGGCACATTGTGGGTCTCCATCTCCTCTGCAAAGCAGGCCTAACTGTCCCCTGCGCCGTACACGGCAGGTCTTTAGGGGCAGGGAACAAGGAGAGCCGCTGACTAGCCCTGACCTTCTGGCATGAGGGAAATAGTTTCACCCTCAGTTGTCTGGCAAGAGGGCAGGAGCTGCTGACAACCATGCCAATGGGGAGGATGGGTTGCCGGATGGCACTGATGGAGGGGAAGAGTGTTGGACTGAGAGTCGGGAGAACTGGGTTCTAGCCCCTGCTTTGCCACTGACTTGGCGTGTGAGCACCATCAAGAGATTTTTGACTTAAGTTTCCTGTCAATCATTCAGTAAATATTTAAGCACCTGCTCCTTGCCAGACACTGTGCTAGTTGCTAGGGGACACATGCTAAATTCATTGACTTAGAATTTATTCCAGCTCTCTTGTGTGGCAGATTAAGAATTCTACCATGGAAGCAATTGGAATGGACAGATTTGGGAAGTAATGAGCTTTTTGTCCTCAGACATGGTCCAAATTGATGCTTCCCTCATAGCTCAGTTGATAAAGAATCTGCCTGCAATGCAGGAGACCTGGGTTTGATTCCTGGGTCAGAAAAATCCCTTGGAAAAGGAAATGGCAACCCACTCCAGTATTCTTGCCTGGAGAATCCCATGGACAAAGGAGCCTAGCAATCCCTGGGTTTGCAAGAGCTGGACATGACTTAGCGACTACACCACCACCATGGTCCAAATAGGAACTGGACTACTGTTTGTGTGCATTCTGTTGATGGGGTAGACTTTTTACGCCTTTCTGCTCTGCATTTCTATGATTTTCTGACCTGGTCTCTTGAACTTGGGGTTCCTAACTGTGAAGTAAGCAAGTAATTCCAGCTGAATCTTTGAGTCCTCCCCAGCACTTTCATTCTGTCATCTTAGCTCCATGAGATGTGGCCTGGATGTCTGGATCTCAGCATTCTTTTCCTTGAACCACATTTGGGAAATCTTAGGGCTCGGTTGTTTTAAGCACTATTACTGCCCTTACTGCACCCATGTCAGACATGGCTAATCAATCTTGGCACTTCTTCCAGCTGAGCCCCAACCCTCCTAATCTTGCTTGGGGCTATGCCAGGACCCAACTCCTTGTTTAATTCCGGGTCAGAGCACGGCCAGCGCAGCTCGGGAACTGGTCATCCAGCGACTGGGTCTGGTGAGGAGTTTGTGCGAGAGCGAGGAGCAGAGATTGCTGGAACAGGTGCATGGCGAAGAGGAGCGGGCCCACCAGAGTATCCTGACGCAGCGAGTGCACTGGGCCGAGGCGCTGCAGAAGCTGGACACCATCCGCGGCAGCCTGGTGGACATGCTCACTCATCTGAATGACCTCCAGCTGATTGTAAGTCAGGCAGGGGTGAGGACACCACAAGTTGGCCAGATTCCCCCAAAGTCTGAAAATGAGAAGGTTTTGTTGGTAGGAGGTAGGTGGAAAATGATAATTTAGAACCAGGATGAGACAGGGCAATATAACTATACGGGGATTTTTTTTTTTTTTTGCAGCTGGTAACTGTTCTTTCAGTAGTGAGCAAATATTTACTGAGTGCCTAATGTATGCTAACCATTGTGTTATCTATGTGTGTTGTTAGTTGCTCAGCTAGTGTCTGACTCTATATGACCTTATGGACTGTAGCCCGCCAGGCTCCCTTGTCCATGGAATTCTCCAGGCAAGAATACAGGAGTGGGTTGCCATTTCCTTCTTCGGGGGATCTTCCCAACCCAGGGATCAAACCCGGGTCTCCTGCGTTGCAGGTGGACTCTTTACCACCTGTGCCATCAGGAAAGGCCTAACGGTGAAGGTACAGGATATGGCTGTCAACAACTCCCAGCCTTATAGAAGAGGCGAATATATAAACCGATAATTAAGACATGGAGGGATATGTGCTATGGTAGGGGGCATCACTGGGAGCTGGGGCCCCTGCAGTCCTGGCTTGAGGCGGGTGGTAGTCAGGGAAGCCTTCCTGAAAGAAGTGACTTGAAAGCTGATGCCTCAAAGACAAGAGTCATAGCTTTGTAAAAGGAAGTGGGGAGAGGGAGAGAGTCCAGAAGCTTGCAGAGAGAACGCTCTACTGACAAGAGGTCTGCTGCAAATACAGAGCTCATCTTCACTCCCACCCCCTGGATATCACAATCCAATATGTTGGTTCATATTCTTTCAGTGTATTTTATATAGATAGGCTGGTACCTGCAGCTTTAGGGTGACAGTGTGACACCTCAGTAGATGCGCCAAGCAGAGAAATGAGAATGTGGAACAACATTGTTGTTGTTCAAGTTGCCCCTCTTGTGCCGTCATGGTTTCTGTGACTGTCTCAGATGGCGCATTCATTTTGTCACATAGCTTTCATGTGCCGAGCACATTCTGTCCCAAACGCTGGGAGGGTCACAACAGAAAATTTCAACGAGTCCCATCCATTGAACCGATGGGCCATGAGATGTTGGGTAAATAGGTGATTGTCCAGAAAGAAGAGTAGTCTGAGGGAAACCTAGGGTGCCACGGGGCTCAGGGCACAGAGGGATTCATTTTGAGGGCATGATGGGAGAGGTCTGTGAAGAAGGACCCATAAAACTTGTGCAGGGTCTTGAAGAAGGAGTGGATGTTTTTATTCTAGAATTTCTCTCCATGTGGAGCCCTCCATGTGAGTTAATTATAGGCAAGTCTTAACGACCTGCTGGGTTTCTGGTGCCAAGCCTGACTCTCTTTTCTTTTCTCACAGCAGAAGGAGCAGGAGATTTTTGAGAGGTGAGTATGGCCCTGGTATTTGCTTGGGCAGTCATGGAAACCACGGCCTTCGACCTCTCCGAAGTCTACCAAGTCCCTGCTGTCAGGCCCCACTGCCCCTGGGAGGAAGCTCAGGGTGGGCAGCTGATTGGATTCCCTGAAGCCAGTCTTGAGGCTTGTCATGGGCTTTCTTAAACATTATCCTATTAAAAAAATGTACAGTCACCCGGCTGGGAGGGTTTCCCCACCTCCATCTACAGATGAGAATGCTGAGGCCCAGAGAGGGGAAGGGACTTGCCTAAGCCCCAGAGGTGGGGCTTGGACCCACAGCTGACACCTGACCCAGTGCTGTCTACTCTACTTCATTCCCCCTTTCTCTAACGAAAAAACCTGAAGTCTTAGTCTGCATTACCAGGAAAATTCTATTTTAATTATGCAGTAATTAAAGAATTTCACCAGGCCCTACCTGAGTTCTGAAAAGTCTTGAAAGGTTCTGAGACCCGAGAGCCGGAGGAAGTGGCCAAGAGGTGATAATTTTCCAGGCAAAGAAATTAAATTCTTACCCTGTGTGTGTGAGATTTCAGAGCTCACAGACACCATGTGTGCTTGGGGGGCACAGTCCATTCTTCTTTATTTTCGTAAAGATAGCAATGTAGATATCAATAGCAATATATGTACATGGGAGAAAGGAAATAATTTTCACCAGTAGAAAATGATTTAAAATGAAAAATGTCTCTGTCACTTTTTCCCAATTTTGTTTCTGAGTGGTGATCAGCTTTAACAGTTACGTGTGTGTCTTGTCGGCTTTCCTGTGTTTAGTCACAAAAGAGTGTGGGGGACTTTTCCCCCCCTCTTAAAATTTGCTTTGAAGACATAGATGGGATCTTTTCATATTTGTTTTATAACTTATCAGGCTATCTATCATGGTACATTTAGATTTACCTCACTTTTTGGAAAGTCTGTGAAGTATTCCACTGTGTGGATGTTCCTAAATTTAGACTACTGCCTCCTTATGATCTTTTCCACACTTCTCCTAGTCTCTCTCTCTCTCTCTCTCTCCCTTTTTTTTCTTTCTTTATTTACTTGGCTGCGCCGGGTCTTAGTTGCAGCATGCAAACTCTTGGTTGCGGCATGTGGGATCTAGTTCCCTGACCAAGGATCGAACCTGGGCCTCTGCATTGGGAGCTTGAAATTTTAACCACTGGACCACAAGGGAAGTCCCTCTCCTAATCTCTTTCTCTTTTCTCTTCATCATCTTCCTCTGATACAGTCTGTCCTCAATATCAACCTGATCTGATTTCTTAAAAAATTCTTTATTTTTGGTTTTGAAATATTTCAGACGTATAGAAAAGTTGCTAAAGTAGTATAATAAACTTAGAAATACTAATTGATATCACTTGGCCACATTTGCTGTTTCTACTATCTCTTTCTTCCTGTCTATCTAGTATATGTGTATATATATATATACATATACATATATATATATGTAAAAACTTGTTTTTTCTGACCTATTTGAGAGTAAGTTGCAGATAGCATGACTTTTTATCTTATCGCCTACTTCATCATGAATCTCCAAAAACAGACATTCTCTTACATGCTGCTGCTGCCACTGGGCAGCTAAGTTGCTTCAGTCGTGTCCGACTCTGTGCGACCCCATAGATAGCAGCCCACCAGGCTCCACCGTCCCTGGGATTCTCCAGGCAAGAACACTGGAGTAGGTTGCCATTTCCTTCTCCAATGCATGAAAGTGAAAAGTGAAAGTGAAGTCACTCAGTTGTGTCCGATTCTTTGCGACCCCATGGACTGCAGCCCACCAGGCTCCTCCATCCATGGGATTTTGCAGGCAAGAGCACTGAAGTGGGGTGCCATTGCCTTCTCCGGTTCTCTTACATACCACAGTATAATTATTAAGTTCAGGAAATCCTATGTCCACATAACACTATTATCTAATATATAGTCTGTATTCAAATGTTGCCAATTGTACTAAAAATGCTCTTAATAGTCTTTGGAATCCCATTCCCCCCACACCCAATGCATCTGACCTCTTAATCTGTAATTTTTCCTTTACCCTTCCCCCCCTAAATACTTTAAGAGTCTAGGACAGTTTTATAAAATATCCCTCAATTTGAGTTTATCTAATGTTACCTCATGATTAGATTCAAGTTATACATTTCAGGCAAGAGTATGTCATACGGTCCTCAGTCTGTTATACCAGGGGGCATTGATATCATTTTGTCCCATTATCAGAGATATTGACTTTTTTAATTGAAGTATAATTGACATACAGCATTGTATTAGTTTGTTTAAATTGAAGTATAGTTGATGTATATAAGTGTACAATATAGTGGCTCACAATTTTTAAAGGTTGTACTCCACTTGTAGTTATTATAAAATATTGACTATAATCCCTATATTGTACAATGTAGGTTTGTTGCTTATTTTATACATAATAGTTTGTACTTATTAATCCCCTACCCCTATCTTCCCTCCTTCCTCTCCCTATTCATAACCACTAGTTCTCTACATCTGTGTTCTCTATTTCTCTGTTTTTTCTTTTGTTATAGCCATTAGTTTGTTGTATTTTTTTAGATTCCACATATAAGTGGTATACAGTATTTTTCTTTCTCTAGCTGACTTATTTCACTTGGCAGAATTCCTTCCAAATCCACTCATATTGTTGCAGATGGCAGAACTTCATTCTTTTTTATGCTGGGTAATACTGCATTGTATATATATATGTATATGTATGTGTGTGTGTGTGTGTGTGTGTGTGTATACACACATATATATATACACCACATCATCTTTATCCATTCATCTATCGATGGACATTTAGGTATCTTGTATATCTTGGCAGTTATATATAATGCCTCTGTGAACATTGGGGTGCATGTGTCTTTTTGAATTTGAATTAGTGTTTTGTGTGTGTGTGTGTATGTATGTATATGGGGCTTCCCTTGTAGCTCAGCTGGTAAAGAATCTGCCTGCAATGCAGGAGGCCCTGGTTCGATTCCTGGGTCAGGAAGAACCCCTGGAGAAGGGACAGGCTCCCCACTCCAGTATTCTTGGGCTTCCCTGGTGGCTCAGCTGGAAAAGAATCCGCCCACAATGTGGGAGACCTGGGTTCTATCCTTGGGTTGGGAAGATCCCTTGGAGAAGAGAATGGCTACCCACTCCAGTATTCTGGCCTGGAGAAGCTTACATATCTTGGCAGTTATAAATAATGCTGCTGTGAACATTGGGGTGCATGTGTCTTTTTGAATTAGTGTTTTTTTGGGGTGTGTGTGTGTGTGTATGTATAGACCCAGTAATACAGTTGCTGGGTCATATGGTAGTTATATTTTTAGTTGGTGGTGTTTTTTTTTTTTGAGAAACCTCCATATTGTTTTCCATGGCTGCACCAATTTACATCCCCACTACAGTATATGAGAATTTTGTTTTCTCCACATCCTCACCATTTGTTATTTGTGTTCTTTTTGATGATAGCCATTCTGACGGTGGGAGGTGATAGCTCATTGTGGTTCTGGCTAGCATTTCCCTGATGATTAGTGATGTTGAGCATTTTTTCAGGCGTCTGTTGGTTATCCGTATGTCCTCTTTGGAAAAATGTGTATTCAGGTCTTCTGCCCATTTTTGTTTCTGTTTATTTTCTGGGGGGACAGGGTTTAGCTGCACCATGTAGCTTGCAGGATCTTAGTTCCCCCACCAGGGATTGAATCCCAGTCCCCTGCAGTGGAAATGTGGAATAACCACTGCACTGCTGGGGAATTCCCTTTCTGCCCATTTTTTAATTGAGTTTTTGTTTTTTCAATGTTGAGTTGTATGAGTTGTTTATATATTTGGCTATTAACCCCTTCAGTTCAGTTCAGTTCAGTTCAGTCGCTCAGTCGTGTCTGACTCTTTGTGACCCCATGAATTGCAGCACACCAGGCCTCCCTGTCCATCACCAACTCCCGGAGTTTACTCAAACTCATGTCCATTGAGTCGGTGATGCCATCCAGCCATCTCATCCTCTGTTGTCCCCTTCTTCTCCTGCCCCCAATCCCGCCCAGCATCAGGGTCTTTTTCAGTGAGTCAACACTTCGCATGAGGTGGCCAAAGTATTGGAGCTTCAATTTCAGCATCAGTCCTTCCAATGAACACCCAAGACTGATCCTTTAGGATGGACTGGTTGGATCTCCTTGCAGTCCAAGGGACTCTCAAGAGTCTTCTTCAACACCACAGTTCAAAAGCATCAATTCTTCGGCGCTCAACTTTCTTCACAGTCTAAAACTCATATCCATACGTGACCACTGGAAAAACCATAGCCTTGACTAGACAGACCTTTGTTGGCAAAGTAATGTCTCTGCTTTTTAATATGCTATTTAGGTTGGTCATAACTTTCTTTCCAAGGAGTAAGCGTCTTTTAATTTCATGGCTGCAGTCACCATCTGCAGTGATTTTGGAGCCCCCCAAAATAAAGTCTGACACTGTTTCCCCACCTATTTCCCAGAGTGATGGGACCAGATGTCATGATCTTAGTTTTCTGAATGTTACTGTTCATATAATCTGCAAATATTTTCTCCCAATTAGGTTGTCCTTTCATTTTGTTGATAGTTTCCTTTGCTGTGCAAAAGCTTTTAAGTTTAATTAAGCCCCATTTGTTTTTTTTGTTTTTTCTTCCTTTGCTTTAGCAGACAGATCCAAAAAAATATTGCTACCTGGAACTTCTCAGAGCCCAGTGGTTAAGACTCCATGCTTCCAGCACAGGGTTCACAGGTTCCATCCCTTGTTGGGAAACTAATATCCCACATGCTGCACGATATGGCCAAAAAACAGACCAAAAAAATGCTACAATTTATGTCAAAGAGTGTTGTCATGTTTTCCTCTGGGTGTTTTTTGGTTTTCATCCTTCCATTTAGGTCTTTAATCCATTTTGAACTTATTTTAGTATATGGTGTTAGAGAATGTTCTAATTTCATTCTTTTACATGTGGCTGTCCAGTTTTCCCAGCACCACTATTGAAGAGCCTGCATTTTCTCCATTGTATCTTCTTGCTTCCTTCATCGTAGATTAGCTGACCATAACTGTGCGGGTTTATTTCTAAGCTTTCTATTCTGTTCCATTGATCCATGTGTCTGTTTCTGTGCCAGTACCATACTCTCTTGAGTACTGTAGCTTTGTAGTATAGTCTGAAGTCAGCCAGCATGAGTCCTCTAGCCTTGTTCTTTCTCAAGGTTGTTTTGGCTCTTTGAGGGCTTTTGTGTTTCCATACAAATTTGAAAATTATTTGTCTAGTTCTGTGAAAAATGCCACTGGTATTTTGATAGGGATTATACTGAATTTGTAGATTACTTTGGGTAGTATGGTAATTTTAACAATATTAAGTCTTCTAATCCAAGAACATGGTGTATCTTTTCATCTGTTTGTATCATCTTCAATTTCTCTCATCAGTGTCTTATAGTTTTCTGAGTATAGGCCTTTTACCTCCTTATGTAGATTTACTCTTAAGTATTTTATTCTTTTTATGTGATGGCAAATGGGACTATGTCCTCAATTTCTCTGTTCATTGTTCAGTGTATAGAAATGTAAGAGATTTCTGTATGTCAGTTTTGTATCCTGCAACTTTACTAAATTCATTGATGAGCTCTAGTAGTTTTCTGGTGGCACCTTTAGGATTTTCTATGTGTAGTATCATGTCATCTGCAAACAGTGACAGTTTTACTTCTTTCTAATTTGGAGTCCTGTACTTTTATTTTTTTCTCTTGTCTGATTGCTGTGTCTAGGACTTTGTTTATTCATTCACTTATTTAGTATCAACACAGACTCATAGATTCTTGTTTTATTCAGTGCATTGTAATCTATTACTATTATTATTAATTTTGATCTTCAGACTGTCCCAGATTTGGCCAGTAGGAGCCCCTTCAAGCCAGATCCTGTGTCCTTTTTGACAACGCTTCATCATTCTTAGAGCACTTTCTTGTTTTCTGGCACAAGAAGATATCCTAGGCTCAACTTCTTCTTTTCCTGCCCCAGCCCTGGAATCAGCTGTTTCTCCAGGGAGTCTTGGTTCCTTTTAGTGGTGAAGAGTGTTTAAAAACCAAGATTTAGGCATTAGGTGTGTTCCCTGCAGGAACGTCTGCTTCCAAGCCTTGTCAGTGGACAGCAGACAGAGATGGGGAGTGTGTGTGCACAACCTTTTTATTCCTGAGTATGTATCACAACTTCTAATTCCGGTCAAACACCACAGGGTTTTTCCTATGTCTGTATTTATGTAGTTCTTCTTTCACAGCGAGAACCTTGGCTCCCAGCAACAACAATGTAACTATTCATTTGTTCAGTCCTGTAATACAAGAACAACTGTTAGAGAGTTGCGAAACGCATGGTATGGTTGCCAAACCTACTAGGAGAGCTCAGGTTTTGTTTGTAGTGCTTTCTGCTTTTAGACTGAGGGTGCGTACCCTCAAAGTAGAGTTGGCCCTCCATTTCCATGGGCTCCCCACTTATAGATTCAACCAGCCAAGGGTTTGAGTGTTTTTGAATCTGCAGATGGGGAACCACGGATACAGAGAGCTGACTGTAAAGGATTTGAATGCCCCATGGATTTTAATATCCTTGGGGCTCCTGGGTCCAATCCCCTAGGATACAGAGGGAAGACTATACTGTTTTCAAAACCTGTTTGTCGGCCCCTAACGTTTCCACATCTGTGGCTGAGCTCAGCCCTAGTCTACCATGACAGAAGGTCACACTGCACAGACTGGGTATTCTGGTCCTGGCCAGGGCCCTGGTGCGTGCCAGTCCCATTTCTTTCCCGCTCCTTGGGGGTCACGAGTTTTCTCTTCCGTGGCATGAGGTGGCTGGACCAGCCAATTCTCTAGACTCTAGTGTCTATGACTGGCCTCAGATTTGCTCTGATGATGATTCAGCACCTCTGACACCTCCTCCTCTTTCCTCCTCAAGTGGTGGCTGGGGCTTCTCCAGAGCCAGCCTCAGTGCTTTGGGAAGATGGCAACAGAGCCTTTCTTGTCCCGTCCACAAAGAGTCTTTGTAACCAGAGCCTGCTGCCAGCTTTCCTGGGGCTCTGTTCACCTCGCTCCTCCCAAGAGGACAGTCGGTGCCAGTCTTCAAAAACACAAGCAGCTGGCACCCATGAGGAGACGTGCTCCCCTCTAGCCTCCCCCTCTGATTGTGGACCGGGCCACGGGATCTGGGGAGGAGGTGTGTGTGCTCACTTCTTTGCTGCCTGAGCGCAAAGTGACCTTCAGGATTACAGGCAGAGGGAAAGTTCCTTCTCAGAAGCCAGATCAGAGGTCTGCGAGACCCTAAGGTGAATCCTCACTTTGCCTCACAGCCCTTCAGATTTCACTTCAGGTCAAGGGAAAGATGATGGTGCCCGGATCCCAGTCTGGGTTTCTTTTGTTTCTGCAGGGCAGCAAGACTTAAATCCAGGTTCTCCTTTTTAGCTGAGTGCTTTCTCTGAATCTCTGTTCCTTCCTGTCCAATGAAATAACTGCCTCCCAGGTTAGAGCAAAGATCCTGAGATTCTGTATAGAAACAGCAAACCTAGAGCCTGGCTGCTAAATACATGACAATACTCCCCTCCTAGGCATCTTGTGTTCCCAAATCTCTTCCAGCAAAACCCAGTCCCCACTGCAAGTTGAAAAGAGGTGGCTATTGGGAGCAAAGTGCTATGATTACTTTATGGTTGGGGTGATAGCCGATCGTTTCTTCTTATGTGACTCCTGAGGGGTGTTTGATTTTAAGATCAGAGGAATGGCTGTACCTTCTGACCACACCAGTAGATTTTGAAGGAAAGCGAGATTTTTCCCCATGCACGCTGGTGGAGCAGAAAGACCGTGGCACAAGAGGCTTAGATCCTCCTTGTAGCTCTGGTCCTCCTCCCAGCTGACTCACGAGAGACACTGGCGACTTGCTTTCCCCACAGAACACACTGACACCAAGTATTCTCTTCCCTATAAACCATGTGCTTTGCTGGCATTAAGGCTTCAGGGCAGAGAGGGAATGCTACCTTCTCTTTTGGCTCCAGCCCCTTCTCTTTGGGGGCTCCTGTGTGGGGCCTGGCCATTCTTGGTGTCACCCTCATGGGAAGAGGATTTTACTTCTGTCCCCCTCCTGTATTGATCCAGATACGTTTCTAGAACCTTCCTAAATCTCTTATCTTTTTTTTTTCCCCTGCACAAGGACGGAGGAAGCAGAGGGCATTTTGGATCCCAAGGAGTCGGAAAAGTTAAATTTTAATGAGAAGTGCACTCGGAGTCCGTTACTGACCCAACTCTGGGCAACAGCCATTCTCGGATCCCTCTCAGGTTAGGAGCTGCTGGAGCCAGGCTCCTGTCTGTGTGGGCTTCGCTGCTGGGTCACACTGGGGACTGGTGTGTCTGGCATCGTACTTAAGCAACCAGTGATGCTGGATGCAGGCTTGTCAATGGAGCCTAAGTTCTGGACAGGGTTGGGGCAGCTCGCCCAGGTCCTCTCTGTTTCCAGACCAGCCTGCTCTGTGATTGGGTCTGGGATAAATCCTGTTCCCAGAATTCACGTCCTCCTTATGTTCTGCCCTAGTGCAACAGCTCAGTATTATTTCTTGGAAACCTAGTTTCTCTTTAAGGAGACACAAGAGATGCAGGTTTGGTCCCTGGGTCAGGAAGATCCCCTGGAGGAGGGCATGGCAACCCACTCCAGTATTCTTGCCTGGAGAATTCCATGGACAGAAGAGCCTGGTGAGCTACAGTCCATAGGGTCACAAAGAATCGGAACACGACTGAAGCAACTTAGCACGTGCAATTGGTGGCCAGCTGGAGAGCATCTGGAGTAAGAATTGAGCTTCCTAGATTTGTCTCACTCACTTAACATTGACTCAGGCCAGTGGGGGGTCTGGCCTTGTGCTGCAAGCTCGGGCCACAGAGGTGGATGTGACATGGATTCTTGGCTCTTGGAATTCCCCCACTGGGAGGGTTTTCAAAGCAGGTCTCCCCCAAGCTAAATGGAAACTTCCACACTGCCTGTTGTAGTATTTTCACAATTCACAGGAAGGCTAAGTTAATGGATTGAGTTTTTCTCAATTTTAACCCTCCCTCCCTGCACATTGTCCTTAAAATGTTAGTACAAGCTACAGCTTCTCTTCTCTAGATTCTGAAATCCAGTGGTGACTGATTTGCCAGCAGTCCCATTTACTTAGTTGTTGGAAACTGATGCTGATGCTTTCAAGCTTTCAGGAACCACGTCACTAGGACGAGTCTGATCTGGATACTGTGTGTGCCCAACTAGAGTGCACTACATTCAATGAATGAAAGTTGATCAGTTGTGCCTGACTCTTTGCGACCCCATGGACTTTAGCTTGCCAGGCTCCTCTGTCCATGGAATACTCCAGGCCAGAATACCAGAGTAGCCGTTCCCTTCTCCAGGGGAATCTTCCCAACCCAGGGATCGAACCCAGGTCTCCCACATTGCAGGCAGATTCTTTACCATCTGAGCCACCAGGGAAGGCCAGTCAGTGCCAATGCTAAATGTAGGAATAATATGCTGGGTCTTCATTTGGCCCCTGCCACTAACTTGGTATGTGACCTTGGGCAACTTGCTTCTCCTCTCTGGGCCTTATTTCTATCACTTGTTAATGCTTGGTAATTTACAGGTATCATCTCATTTGGTCCTCACATCCACCCTGTGATAAGTCCTATTCTGATCCCCACTTTTATAGATGAGGAATCTGAGGCTCAGAGAGAGTAAGTGGCTTTACCTGCCAGTGAGTGGTGAGGAAGCCCTTCGCTCCCTGGCAGGACCAGGTCAGGGCTGAGGGTGGGCCTTGGGCAACTCAGAGAATTCTTTCTGGCAGGCACGGAGGACGTGCGTATGGATGAGAGGACGGTCAGCCCCTTCTTGCAACTGTCAGATGATCGGAGGACCCTGACCTTCAATTCCAAGAAGTCCAAGGCCTGTGCAGATGGCCCGGAGCGCTTCGACCACTGGCCCAATGCCCTGGCCGACACGTCCTTCCAGGCTGGGCTGCACGCCTGGACGGTGAACGTCCAGAACAGTTGTGCCTACAAGGTGGGCGTGGCCTTAGGCCAGCTGCCCCGCAAGGGTTCGGGCAGTGACTCTCGCCTGGGCTGCAGTGCTTTCTCCTGGGTCTTCTCCCGCTACGGCCAGGAGTTCCGTTTCTCGCATGACGGGCAGCACGAGCCCCTGGCCCTGCTGCGGTGCCCAGCTCAGCTGGGCGTGCTGCTGGACTTGCAGGCACAGGAGCTGCTCTTCTACGAGCCCGCCTCGGGCACCGTGCTCCACACCCACCACGCGTCTTTCCCTGGGCCCCTCTTCCCAGTCTTTGCTGTGGCTGACCAGACCATTTCCATCGTCCACTGACCTGTAGCCATAGGGAGGCCAGGTGTCCCTCCCCACCACCCTTTCAGGCCATGTTTCTACCCAGTGTCTTCTTCCCAAATACTGCCTGTACCCCATGGGCAGTTTTAGGGGGGAATCTGGGTACAACCATTAAATGCTGGGTATCTAGGGGAATCTGCTACTCCCTGAGGCTTGGTCTCCCAAATCCATCGTCCGTCTGTTCCTCTGAGGGTGTCTTATTTGCCACTTCATCCCTGGCATCCAGCGTGGTGCCTGGTGCAGAGTGAGCATGCGATAAACGTGATCAGTGAGTGGACGTGTGGACTGATGGATGGATGGATCGGTGGATGTATGGAGGGACAGGTGACCAGATGCATGTTGTAGGCTCTTGTGGAGAACTCCTGCCCCCAGGAGACCCTGTTCTCTGGCAGAAAATCTTATGGCTGAAGCTCTTTCATCCCCTCTATTCAGTGCTTCTCCATCCATTTCATGACATGGCACAGAGAAAATATTTTCCCAGCACGCAAGGACAACCTGGAAGGGATTCGGCACTCTTGCCAGGTTGCTGTTGGCCAGAGGACTCTGGCCTCTGGGGCTCTGTCCTCCCCCAGGTTTTGCCTAGACACTCGGGAGATGCAGGGGATCCTGTCTCCAGGTAGTCTGCCTGCAACACACCCATCAGAAGCACTGCCTGACTAGGCGGAGGTCCAGCCAGGGCCCACCTGTGGTCACAGGGACGACCTTCTTTCCCAACTGCAGCTGACGCAAGCCCTCACCTAATGTCTTCTCTAACATACTGAGACCAGGGTGAGGCCTTCAAACCGGAAAGAGCCAAGGGAATAAGAACGCCAGCCTTAGAGAACATGTACATTATTAAAGACTTTAAAACACTGAAAAATTTCTTCCGTGTTCTTTGTTGGTAATTGGGCAAATCCCCCAGGTGCCTGCTCATCTCTAGTGTTGTGTTTGCTGGGAAATGAATGTCGTCTTCACCCCCTATCCACATTCCCAGCTACAAGCAGGGACAGCTCAGCACACACAGCTGAAAGGGCCTGGGGACAGGGTTCTGGGCCCTGCATTGCTGAGACCATGGTCAAGTCCCTTCCTATCCTCTGAGGAGGTCACTGAGAACAGTGGTCCTCCCGTTTTGTTTCACCTGGGAACATGGTTCCAAGGCAGTCTCAGCTGCAACTTACCTGTAAGGCTCTTGGGCTCAAAGATGGAGGGCAGGGCCCTCCCCACTCTGAAGTTCATTCAATAATTTACTTAACACTGGGAGGGTCAAATCAACTTTCTCAGTTGACATGACTTCTGAGGCCCTTGCAGCTCTGAAACCACAGCTCATGACCCTTGAGTCCTCACTGCTTGACAACTGGAAATTAATGTTTAGTCCCCTGGCCTTGGCACTAAGCCCAAAGACAGATCCACAAGAGGTTTGGAAGCCTCAGAAGAGCTTCCTGTCTTTGCCTGAGCACAGATTCTGCTTAAAACCTAGGTCAAAGCCATTTCTTCTATGCGGCACCTAAAGGTCATGCTAAACTCCCCTCCCCCAGCCACCAATCTACCTCCCCACAGCAGCCTTGGGTCCACAGTTCATGGGCCTGCTGCCAAGAGTCCCCTCTTATCTGTCTGCCCGTCTGTGGGCCACTCCCAGTTCAGAGTCCACTCCAGAGCCCTCCCCAGCTGTTGGCACCTGGACATACCCTGTGCATGTGCCTGTGCCTTTTCCCTGTAGTACCCCTGGGCCTGGCACTGGGCAGGGTGCAGGTGTCCAGTAAACAGCAAGTAGAGAGGAGTGTGAAGGGGGAAAGGCAGGAAGAGACATGGAACTTCTCCAGTGACCCCCCCACACACCCCCATTCCCAGCACTCCTGCCACTTGAGCTCCAGTCCCTGTTCCCTGTGCTCTCCCACCCCCACCCTATTCCTGTGAGTGGGGTGCCCTTCAACACTGCCATCCTCAGGACATCTTCCCTACTCTCCCAGGATCTCCACGGCATCATGTCTCATGTGACACAGATCACCTTCTACTAGAAGTCAGGCCAATAGGCTCTGGAGTCAGACCTGCCTAAAGGAGAACCCCAGCTCCTGCAGGTACTCACTGACTCAGGCAGGCTACCTAACCCGCAAATCCATCTCCGCATCTGTAAGGTGGAGGTCACACTTGCAAGGCCCACTAGGGTTATGTATACATACACAAGCCCCTGGCAGACTAACACACTGCAGGCCTACATCAGCTGCAATTAGTGTGTCCCTTGTCTAAAATTTCCTTCAGGGAATTCTCTTGAGGACATGGGGTTTGATCCCTGGTCAAGGAACTAAGGTCCCACAAGCCACACGGCACAGCTAAAAAAATTTTTTAAATTAAGTTTCCCCTTCAGACAACAGTCCTAGAGGGCAGTGTCCTGACAGCTCAGCTTAGTGTCCTGGTTACCTAGCTAAGCTCCTCTGATCTCTAGGCTTCCCAGGGGGAGAGTCACGGAGACTTCACGAGTGGAAGACAGACCCCAGGACCTCTGCTTCAACCTTAGCAGTTTACACTTTTCCTGTTGTGCATGTTGGGGTTCCACAGAAGGACTCCCATGACAAAAGGCCCTGCTGCTAAAAGAAAGTTTGAAAGTGCTGGTTTTGAAGCTAGTTGGGCCCTCATGAATCTCCTTGGAGGTGAGGGAGACTCGCAGTGGCAAAGGGACAGAGGTGTGATGAATGAACCCTCTCAGAGACCAGGAGCTGGTTGGTGGGGCAGGGCTGAAAAGCGCACTCAAGGCTTTATAGTCAGAACGTGTTACAGAGGCTGCAGGGCGAGTGGCAAAGGCCAGATCTGGGAAGTAAAGGGCTCCCGGTCTCCAGTGTCTGTTGGCCCCGGCCACTTCCCTCTCCAGACTCAAAGCCTTGTGCGGGAGCCCTCCAGGTGGTCAAGGGCAGGCAGGAGATGGGACAGTGAGGGGAGAAAGTGTTCCTGGGGTACAGAATCCTTGACCGCAGAGTCCAAAGGCTCGGGGCCAGCCACCAGGAAGCTGTGCATGCCTACAGCCCGTGCTCCCTTGTAATCACATTGGTAACTGTCCCCAATATGGGCTGCCACCGCTGGTTCCACCTGAGCAAGGCGCAAGGCTTCATGGAAAATGCGGGGGTCGGGCTTGGGCCAGCCGGCAGTCTCAGAGGTCAGCACAAAGTCAAAGTGTTCCCGAAGGCCAACACCTTCCAGGATGTCCTCCAGTCGTTGGTCAAAGTTGGAGACCACTGCCAGCCTCAGGCCTCGTTTTCGGCACCCCCTAAGGGTGGCCTCAGCCCCCTCCAACACCTGCCAGGTGCTAGGACTGCTGAGGTCCTTGTACAGCTGCTCAGCGACGGGGGCCACAGCCTGGGCATCCCGAACACCAACCTGGTGGAAAGTCTGCTGGACCAAATCCAGCCACCACTGGCGGGAGGTGAGGCCGTGGCTCAGGCCATAGTTGGGTAAGCTCTGGCTCTGAGCCTTGTACACCTGCCTGAAGGCCTGTCCCAGGGCTGTGGCTTCCACCTTCAGCCCGTGGGCCCTGGCTTTAGTGGCATATTTCACTCCCAAGGGGTGGCGGAGCCTGAGCAGCGTGTCCTTCACGTCCCACGTCAGCAGTCGTAACTGTAGCTGGTGCGCCATGGGTCTGCAGGAGGGGGGCCAGTCCACCCTAGGTCTGCCCCTGTCTCAGGTCCCAGGACGTTGAGCTGGACAAGACCACCCTCACCCAACCTGATGGTCTTCTCTTTCCGGGTTTCGTGGGTTAGGTGTGCTGGCGCTTAGGTAAGGTCTTCACAGCAGAAAATCCTGGAATGAGAGGGCAAGTGAGATGGAAGTTCAGGCCTTGGAGTCAGAGACAGCCTGGGTTCAAATTCTGATGCTGCCAAAGCACTGTGTGACCCGGAGTGTCTCTCTCTGAGGCTGTGTCTCCTCATGTGTACGGAGAGCACAGTGACTCAACCTCACAAGACTGATGCACCAAATGAGATTTCTCCGTTCCTTCCACCTACTATGTGCTAGATCTTAGGAAAGGGACAGATTTGTAGCCCTCGTGACATTCACAGGCAATAAAGAACAGGGGATACACCCATCAGACAAAGAAGGAAGGCAGCAGGTACCATGAGGATATCAGTGCAGAAACCTGACTTAGACTTTGTAGCCGGGGAACTTCTTAAGCAAGTGAAGTTTCAGTGGCGATTTGAGAAGCCGAGTCAGCAACTATGGAAAATGTGGGGGTCGGGCTCGGCCCGGCTTGGGCACATAGTCAGTGACTATGTGTTGGGCATGGTTGCTCAGTCGTGCCCAACTCCTGCGACCCCATGGACTGTACCTTCCAAGCACTTCTGTCCATGAGGATTCTCCAGGCAAGAATAGTGGAGTGGGTAGTCATGCCCTCCTCCAGGGGATCTTCCCAACCCAGGGATCAAACCCAGGTCTCCCGCACTGCAGGCAAATTCTTCATGGTCTGAGACACCAGGGCAGCCCAAGAATACTGGGGTGGGCAGCCTATCCGTTCTCCAGGGGAACTTCCCGACCCAGGAATCGAACCGGGGTCTCCTGCACTGCAGGTAGATTCTTTAGCAGCTAAGGTACCAGGGAAGGAAATCTCATTTACTCCAGCAGTGGGTTGCCACGTCCTCCTCGAGGGGATCTTCTCGACCCAGGGATCAAACTCAGGTCTCCTGCATTGCAGGCAGACTCTTTACCATCTGAGCCTCCAGGGAAGCCCAAGGCCTTGTAGGTCAAGATAAGGAAATAATTATTTTGACTGCTATTAATATTGTTCGGAATGTGAAAAACTATAGAGTCTTAGCAAATCATTGGATCAACCCCTTAGTCAAGGGGAAAGACAGCCAGAGAGGGTAGATATCTGCCGAAGGTCACAGCCAGTCAGCAGCACTGCCAGGACTAGAACCCAAACCTCCAGATCCTCTGGTCAGTACTCCCTTCCACTGCTTAGCCGTACTTGGATTTTTCAAGAATCTGATTTTGGCGAACCTCTACAGCTCAGGGCAAAAGACAGGCAGAGCAACCTGGTCCCACCTGTCTTAAAACCTCCCTGAGCCCCAGATGATAACGCCTGCCTGGGTGGAGAGCCGGTGAAGGGTTCCTGACTCAGTGCACAGAAAACTAATTTCTCAGCCTAAAATCTAGAGGCTGGAGACAGCTTCTTGCCCTAGCGCCGATTCCAGACACCCAACCTGTTCAGTAGAAACCTAAGGTGCCAGAGTTCAAAGTGCAGCTAAGTCGTTGCTGAGGGACAGATTTGGCTGGTGAATCTGGGGACCTTAGAGGAAGTTTGACAACGAAATGAAATTTCAGTCAGTCTGGAACTTAGGGAGACCCGTCCCAAGATACCCCACGGGGCAGGTGGGCAGATGTAGGCCCAGAGAGGGTCGCGAACTCGTCCAGAGCCAGGCAGGGAGCCACTGGCTCAGCTAAGACTAGAACAACGGTCCACACAGGTACCCTGCTCTAGGGCGACCTAACTACGCCTGAGGTATGCAGCGCGATCTGTGGCGCCAGTCCCCGGGCCCACGACCTACCTGCCTCACCGGGAAGTAGGTCAGGAAGGAAGCTGCATCCCCAAGGCCGCTAGGGAGAAGGGCGAAGCCGCAGACGCTCGGCGGAGCCCCTTTTCTCGGGAATCCCAGACCGCCCCCTGCCCCTCCTTCTCTCCCCACCCCACCCCACCCCCTCCGCTTCCTATGCCCCGTCCGCCCCCTCCACCTCCTCCGCCTCTCTTCGTCTCCCTGCCCCCGCCGCCTCTCAGCGCGCCGCCTCCGCCGCCTCCGCCGCCGGTCTCAGCTCGGCCTCCTCCACTTCTCCCTGCACCCCGCCTGTCTCTGCCCCTCCTCTTCCACCTCCGCCACCTCTCCGCCCCGCCTCCTCCACTTCTCCCCGCCCCCTCCAGTCACCTCCCGCCTCCTCCGCTTCTTCCACCTCCCCGCCCCGCCCCTCCGCCGGTCTCTGCCCCGCCTCCTCCACTTCTCCCCGCCCCCTCCTGTCACCGTCCCGCCTCCTCCGCGTCTTCCGCCTCCCCGCCCCGCCCCTCCGCCGGTCTCTGCCCCGCCTCCTCCACTTCTCCCCGCCCCCTCCTGTCACCGTCCCGCCTCCTCCGCGTCTTCCGCCTCCCCGCCCCGCCCCTCCGCCGGTCTCTGCCCCGCCTCCTCCACTTCTCCCCGCCCCCTCCTGTCACCGTCCCGCCTCCTCCGCGTCTTCCGCCTCCCCGCCCCGCCCCTCCGCCGGTCTCTGCCCCGCCTCCTCCACTTCTCCCCGCCCCCTCCTGTCACCGTCCCGCCTCCTCCGCTTCTTCCGCCTCCCCGCCCCGCCCCTCCGCCGGTCTCTGCCCCGCCTCCTCCTGTCACCGTCCCGCCTCCTCCGCGTCTTCCGCCTCTCCGCCCCGCCCCTCCGCCGGTCTCTGCCCCGCCTCTTCCAGTTCTCCCCGTCTCCTGTACTTCTCCCTGCCCCTCCGCCTGTCCCCTCGCGCCCCTCCGCGCCCCTCCGCCCCTCCGCCCCTCCGTGACCACCCGCTTCCCCTCTGCTTCTCCGTTCCTTCCGGCCGCATCTTCACCTCTCTGTATCCGGCGCTCTAGTCACCAGCCCTCTCCACCGTTCTCTGCCCCCCTCGTCTCTTCTGTGACCTTCTCTGCCCCTTCGTAAGACCCCACACCCTCTCGGTTCCTCGTCCCGCACCTCACCAATCAGCTTGATCGCTTTGGGCCCTTCCTGCGTGCCCCTGGCCTCCCCACCCTCGCCCAGTCGGCCTCGCAGTCTCTCTCATTTACCCCCGTGCTCTCTCCGCTCCCCTCTCCTTCCGCCCCACAACCCCCGCCAAGTTCCTTCTCCGCCTGCCTTGGTTTCGGAGCCCCCCTCCCCCAAGGTGCCCAGGCTGATTGGGAGGAGGGGATTTCTGTTCAGGTCTGGCTTGGTGAGTGCTGGGTAAACTTGGGCAAGGTGCTGCCCCTCTCTGGTCTGAGTCCCCAATCGGTACTCGGGCAGAATTGCTTCCTGTTGAAAACGTGTCTTAACCCAAGACAATTTGCTGAGGGTAGAGTCCTCTGTAGAAACCTGTTGATTTTCTTTTTCTTTTTATGAAAACAGAAGTCAAAATTTTAGGTGTCTGTGCACTGCAGGGATGCCTGATAGAAATACAGAGACAGTTTTGGAGGAAAGAGAAAGCATAGCTTTATTGCTTTGCCAGGCAGAGGGCATGCAGCAGGCCAATGCCTCAGATAATGTTTCCCCTTATAGTCTAGGCTTTGCTCAGGGGTATGTGATACGGTTCAACGCAGTGACAATCTTACATTTTTTTCTGCAAAGTTTTAAAATGGCCATAACATTGAGTTTGGTCGTCAACGAGTTTATTGGCTGGTAACCTTTTTGAAATGAAGAATGCCAGGGGAGTTACAAGGATGTGTAGGGGAAAAGAATGCCAGGTGCAGGATAGAATTCACAGAGAGTGATTAAGGAATTAAATTTGTGAAGGACAAGTCCAGTTGTGTGCACTAGAAACAGCTAGAGTAAAACTAGGGTCGCTGGACTCTTCCAGGCCTATTCTTGGGGGTTTTATAGCTGTTTACTCATTCTTTCATTTCCCTTGCTTGTTAGCAGTAAAAAACCCCACTTTTCCATTTCTGTTTAACAAATTCCTCACTGTTAGTTCATTTCTTCCATTTTGGTGGGGGAAGGGAATCAGGCGTTGTTCTCATCTGGCTGAGGATAACATTTCAGTGTCATTCCACTTGATGAACATCAGCTGTTTGGCCCAAGAGCCCATCTATCTCCTGCTTCAAAAGTAGTCATGCTCATCTCAAAAATCTAAAAATACAAAGCAACAGCCCAACTTCATTCATTCACTAACTGCTTATTGAGGGCCCTAACTTCGTGCTGACCTTATCTGCTCTATGTCTGACACCCTGTTCTTCACTGAGGATATATACAATGGGAAACAAGAGTGTTTCTGCCTTCAAGGAACAGGGGCAGGCAGAAAAAGTCAAGTAAATAAACAAGATCTCACAGGTGATAAGAGCTATGGAGATATAAAACAGTGGTTTCATGAATAGTGAAAGGGGACTTCTTTGGATGAACCAGTTAAGGGGGAACAAAGATCTGAAGGGCGGCCAATTGAAGATTAAGGATAAGTACAGCTGAGCAAGAGCAATGGCCTCTCCATTGTCCAACCACTTCCCAGGGATTGCTGCAGTTTGGGTTTTCCAGACTTCCAGCAGACTCTCTTCCAGCATGGTGTGACCGTTTTCTAGGAGCACACAAACATGCATGCAATTTTATTCCTTTCTTTCCTCCACTTCTTTTTTTTTGTTTGTTTCATTTTGTAAAAACAAAACATCCCTCTGTATTCCAAGGCTGCTCTGTTGATTTTATTCAGAACTGCCTCACCCTCACTGGTCTCAGGCCTGGGAGGAAGTACAAAGTTCAGAGTCACAGACCTTGGCCAGCAAGGGAGAGCCTGACTCAAATTAAGTTTTTCAGCAGAGAAGGGAGCCTTGAGAGTCACAGGAAAGTCAATGACAAGTCCTGCTATTTTGAAATAAACTTTTTTTTTTTTAAATTAACCAGTTCAAAAATAGATCCATGTCATAGGTAGTTTCCTCCCTAAGGCCGATAATAGGAATTCCTAGACGGTTTCATTCTTTCACCTCCCCTGTGTGGATTCTGGCCTAGTGATTGCTCCTGGAGACACCTGGCATGTCACAATAGTGTTTTTTTTTTTTTTAAACAATTTTTTTTTTTGGTTACACCAAGCAGCAGCATATGGGATCTAGTTCCCCAACCAGGGATTGAACCCAGGCCCCCTGTAGTGGAAGCCTGGGATCTTACCACTGGACTGCCAGGAAGGACCCTCTATGGACATTCCTTTTTTTGGCCTGCCAGGTCTTAGTTGTGGCACTCAAGATCTTTGCTGTGGCATGGGGGATCTTTAGTTGTGGCAGGTAGGCTATAGCGCCCTGACCAGGGATCAAACTTGGACTCCCTGCATTGGGAGTGCAGAGTCTTAGCCAGTGGACCACCAGGGTAGTGCCCTCTATGAATATCCTTGAACATGTGTTTTGGTCACATGCATACATATTTCTGTTGGGTAAATCCCTAGATGTAGAATCACTAGGCCATAGGTATGTGTATGTCATTTCGGTAGATGGGGCCAGTTTTCTGAAATGATTGTACCAATCATGCCGGAGAGTTCCACTTGCTCCACATTCTCAAGAATTGGTAGTCTGTTTTTTTAAGTTTTTGGCATTTTGATGGATATATGGTGTATCTCATTATGGTTTTGACTTCCTCTGTTAAGTAGTGAATATAATACTTTTTCATGTATATTGGCCAAGTTTTCACTTACATGAATAACACATGAATATATTCTTGTTAGACATAATACATGAAGACAAAAATGTACTTAAAGCTAAGATAATACATAAAAGATAAAGTCCTGAGCAATCCCTCCCCTAGTTCTGAGCACTGGGCTTGGAGTTAGGAGATCCGGACCCAGCCTTGGTCTAACACTGGCTTGTGTGAAATTTGGACAAGTCCCCTCTCTGGCTCTCATCCATCGAATTAGAGTGTTTAACCAGATGGTTTCTAAGGACTTCTTTGATATTCTGGCCATTGTATCTGTCATTACAAAAACTCCATGTGGTGGGGATGGCCATTTGCCCCCATATCCATCTCTCCATCTTCCTTAGTAATTGAATCTCCCAAGTTTTAAGCTGAGCACAGGGCTGCCCCACCAGACTCTTTTCCAGCCTTCCAGCAGACTCTCTTCCAGCATGGTGTGACCAAAAAAAAATTGTTTAAAAAAAAAACAGCCTTAGCCATGGGACTAAGTTCAGACAAGGGCAAATGACGTGTGCGGCTTCTGGGTTGTGCCCGTGTGAGGTGTCATGCCCTCTATTGCTCATTTCCTCTTTCTGCTGACTGAAAGAGGGCCTGATGGTTGGAACTGGATCCACCAACGGATCATGAGATGGAAGCCAAGATGTGTTGATGACAGAACAAGGCAGGAGCCATGACCCCCCACATCATATAGCTGACCATATAGCCCAGACTACTCAGAAACACATTTCCATCTTAAGCCATCATTATTTTGGCTTTTGTTATAATTACTGAACATGAATCCTGACTAACACAGAGTTAACTGGGGAATGACTTTAAATCTGATGTCAGAGCAGATTTTTCTGAGGCCGTGACATTTAAATCAAGATCTTAACAATGAAAAAGGAGACAGCCATTAAAGGTTTTCGGTAAAAAGCATTCCAGGCAAAGGGGACAACCACAGGTGCAAAAGCGCTGAGATTCTACCAGCTTTCCATCTCCTCGCCATGTCTCCCATGCCGTTGTTCACAGGGACTAAACTGAGGCTGGTCGTGTGACCCGAGCAGGACCAATCAGAGACCTCCAGAGATCTGCTATGCGAATACTGGGATAGAAAGGATTAAGGATCATCTTCCCCGGTGGCTCAGATGGTAAAGAATCTGCCTGCCGTGCAGGAGACCCAGGTTCGATCCCTGGATCAGGAAGATCCCCTGAGACGGGCACGGCAACCCACTCCAGGATACTTGCCTGGAGACTTCCATGGACAGAGAAGCCTGGCAGGCTAGTCCATGGGATTGCAGAGTCAGACATGACTGAGCGACTTTCACACACAGGGACCATGCTTCTGTCAAGTGGCAAAAACCCATATTAGAATAAAGGCAAGCTGAGGCAAACACAGGTGAGAGATAGGAAGGGATACAGGCTTCTTCTGGGAGAGGCTGTATCTGTCACTTGCCACCAAGAGCACCCAGAACAAGGCAGAATATGGGGTGCTGCAAGTGACAGGCCCTAATGTATGGAACTGGCAGAGTCCATACGGGGCAAGGTCTGGACTCCCCCTTCCCTAGTTGGGAAATCGGTTGTAAAATATCTGGTTTAAATGCTTGCTGTTTTGGGGGCCCTCAACCTTATGCCCACTGAGGTAGTTTTAGGGATCTTAGTGAAATGAAAAGTGAGGATGAGGGAATGTGTTGGTTATTTGTGGTGGTCTGCGGGATGCCGCATTAAGGGATAAGCTACCATCCAAGCTGGCACGTCTTGAGAGGGAAATAAGAAAATCATATTGTGTTGAGAGAGGCCCTTAATGCTCACCAGATACCAGGAAGTCTGAGAATAATATGCCTTGCTGCTTGTGAAAGCTGAGTTCTCTGCCCAAGGATAAAATTATGGCACCTTAGGTGCTAAGTCCTGACTCCAGAGGGCGCCACTCACATAGACCATATGCCTGAAGGTAGCTCAGCCCTTGGACGTGCCCCATTACTAGAGCTCTATCAGTGTTAGAGCTATAATTTTGGTACTGTTTATTGGGAGGTGATATGGCAGAGTGGGTAAGGGTAGAGGCCTTCAAACTGCGCTATGTGATTTCAAATCCCAGCTCTGCTGTTTTTGGTGACTGGGGTTCTAGACCCAGTTCTGCCACAAACTTGTTGAGCAGCCTTGAGAGAGTCATATAAACATAAACTAACAGACAGAGCTTCTTCACTGCAAACCCACGCTAAATTTAGGATTCCCTTTCTAAGCTTTCTCACCTCAGTCAATGGCCTGCCTATCAGCCACCCAGGAGCTCCAGCCAAGTTTGTCCTTGACATCTCACCTAAGTCCTAAATTGGTTGGTTCTCTTCTCCATCCCCACGGTCACCACTCAGTCTAGGCCACATTTCTTATTCGTGCTTTGCCACAGTGCTGTCAAAATGCTTCTATAAATTGAAATTCCAACTAAAAATCTTAACTTTGTACTGTATTTTCCAAGTCTCCTGTAAATGTTATCATATTTTAATAATTTAGAAAATAAAAAAGATTAAAAAAAAAATTAAAAACCTTTCCTGTGTTTCAGCCACCAGCTCACTTTGGCCCCATGATCCCTTCTGTTGGGAATGATCATCCCTAAACATGTGCCAACGTGGCTGCTTGCTTTCTAGGTCTAGGTTTAAACATCAGGCCTCAGGGAAGTGTTTTCTGATCCTTCCTACCAGGTCATACCAGGTCATACCTGGTGGCCTTCCCAGCACCTGTCACTACATCAGTGGTAACAGGTCTGCCTATAGATTCTCCTTAGGGAGCCCCATCATCACTCTGCTCAATGTTAACTCCTGGGGGCTCGGGACACAGTTATTTGCTTCCTGAGAATGGTTTGTCTCCCATCTCCTTGTGCCTAGAACAGAGCTGGACCCCCTTTCAGCTTGGCAATGATGAGTGTGGGATGGCCTTGAAGAACGTTCCCTTCCACACTAATGAGAAATGAGCTTACGGCCAGGGAGCACAGAAATGAAGGTGGTGCAAGGTTCTGGCTTGGTCCAAGCTCTGAGACCCGTCAGTGGCTCATCTCTCGGGTTTTCGGTCTCAAGGTGATTCTTCACATCCCAAAAGCTGAGTACAGAATGAGGTGGCCACAGCTCTGGGGAAGAACACCAGGAGTCAGAGGGGACCTGCCTCTAACTCAAATATTTCTAAATTTTAAAACAGGTGGTACTGCTTTAACATCCAAAATAGTCTTGCTTTGGCTCTAGAGCTGGGATTCTCTGTCACTCTGCAGATAGGCAGGTGGACTTGAAAACTGGCCCCTCCTTAGCTGGGCCTGAACTTTCACTGGGGGGTGGGGAACATCACATCGCATCCCCTTAGAAGACCCAATAGAGACCTGTTTCTCAAGCCAGAAACCCATGAAGGCATCTTGTTCCCTGCCTCAATCCCCCAACAGGAAGACTTTGGCAAGGTCTGCTTATTCGGTCTTCAGAATGTATCCTGAACACAGTCCGCTTCCTTTGCTCTCCACTGCCACCACCTGGTCCAGGCCACTGGCGTGGTTCCCTGGGGTCTGCAGCAGCCTCCCAACCAGGCTGCTTCTGGCCCACCCCTCCATTTTTTTTTCATAGCAGCAGAATGGGGGAAACTGGAACACACATAACAGCTGGTTAAGACCCTTCAGATGGCTTTGTATCAGATACAGAACAGAAACCAAGCTTCCTACGAAGTGTGGGCTCTACCTTTCCAACCTCCAGTGCTGTCACCCGCCTTCTTCCTCATCTGGTTCCTGCGAGAGCAGGAACCTGCACACTACGCCGTCATTCTTGCAGCTTCTGACGTCCACTTCCCTCTCCTCTTGGTAAAGGCCTTTCCTTGCCCCTCAATCTCAGGAAGGGCTTCTCAAGTGAGGCCCATCATCTATTATTCTGTCTCAGACCCTTTCTTTCCCTGGAAGCACTATTACCATCTGTAACTGCCTTATTTGTCTATTTTCTTGTTGGCGTCTGTCACCCTGGTTCCCTTGTATAGATTCCATGCAGAGACAAGTTGAAGTCTGTCCTGCTATAAATCCCCAGGACCTGGTATCATGCATGGGCACACAGCAGACTTTCTCAAGAAATATCTCTGCAATAAAGAGCCTTTTCAGTGGTGCCATCTCCAACGGTCAGGAATTCTTTCTTTGCTTCTGAATTTCGATCCTTCGGCAGCATTCCTGCTTGTTAATGAATTCATTCTTTTCTGCTTGTTAATGAGTAATTCTTCTCCGGGTTTATGGCTCAGAGAACAACAGGAGACCTCAGGCAGCCTGGCAACCACTGGCCTGTGTGGGGATCGCTTTCCAGTGGAATTGCAGCAAATGTCAACTCTAAACCCAGGGTGTCAATCTAGGCCTATGTGCCCAGCTCTGCTGCCAGAGGCCTCCAGCTTTCCAGAGCTGCTGAGGGTCCAAGAATCAACTGCCCTCTCTCCCCTAATGTTCCAAGCCCTTCTCCCAGGACCCACTGAGCTGATGCCATGAGTCTTGGTGGCTTTCCAGCTGAAGCGACCCTAGAGGAAGGACCGGGGTTGGCAGAGGTGAGCTTCAGGACTGACTCAGAGGAGGGGCTGGGAAGCCTGGGAGAGCCAGTGAGGATGTGGCTGCGAGTGGGGAGATTTGGCAGGCTGGCAGAAACCACCCAGGGCTTCCAAGCGCCCGCCAGCGCATAAGCAGGAAGAGGGCAGGAGTGCACAGTTCTAAAAGCATCGTTTACTTTGGTTTTCACTTCTCCAAGGCTCAGGAATAGAAAAGTTCTAGTTCTTGGATCTGGTACACTTTCTCCATCACTCCTTCAGCCACTGCAGTAGCTGAGGCGTGTAGTAGGTGATGATGACATCGGCACCTGTGTGGGGAAAGAAGCGGCATCAGCTTGGGAAATACTTTCTGGGAGGTGAGGGCTGGGGTGGGAAGAAGGCTATTATGAACAGGCACAGCCCCAGGGCGTCACCACCTAAGACTGAGTCCAGTTCCGGTCAGTCCTGGCTCTATACCCCGTGTGACCTTGGGGAAGCATTTTCTCTTTGTGGGCCTCAGTGTATAAAATTGCACATTGGGGGACACAGGTAAGCTGTGAGCTGCCCTGCCACGCCGCATGCCTAACCCACAAAACCAGCTCTCATTTCTGAAAGGACATGATATGCCAATTACACGCAGCATCTCATTTAACCCCCTTGATGACCACGCACCATCTATCTTATCCCCAGTTTACAGATGAGGACACTGAAGTTACAGAAGTGACTTGCCCAAGGTCTCACAATCAAAAAGTAACTGAGGGCTCTGCGTGCTTCATTTGCTCACCTTCTGCCCCGCAGTTTCACGTCCCTTCCCCAGCCTGTCTGTTTAGATCACTGGCATTTCCAGACAGGTGACTCCAGGCTGTCCCCTAACTTTATTTCCCTATTTGGGCAAGGTGCCTATCAGTTCCCTGTGGCCCAGGTCAAAACCCTCCACTCCTGCTTACTCACCTGCTCTGCGGAAGGCAGTCATGACCTCTAGGACAGCAGCCTTGAGATCAAATGCCCCGGCCTGGGCCCCGTGCCACAGCATGGCGAACTCTCCAGAAACATGGTACACGGCCAGGGGGAGCTCAGGGTGCTGTGGGGAAGCAGTGGGGGACAGGCAGGTTGAAGCGGCGGGGGGTGGTTGTGCCCCTGGGTGTCCCTTCCTCCCTGCCACAAGCTCTGAGTCACTGCTGCTGGCGGGCTGGCCTGCTCTTGAGTTGTTCAAAGGCGCTTGCAAGCCCTGGCACAGAGGCCCACAGTGTTTCCCTGGCAGGGATGGGATACAGGAGGTGGGGGAGCATTCTAGTTCCCGGGCAGATTGTTTCCAACTCTGAGATTCCCTCCATCAAAGGTCCCGGAATCTGTGGACACACTCTCATCTCCCCAGCCCCTGCTCTGGCCCTTGTTCTTTATACCCTGTTGCCCAGAAAGAGAAAATGCCTTCCCCAAGGTCACACGGTGTATAAAGCTAGGACTGACCTGAACTGGACTCAGTCTTGGGTTGCGACACCCTTGTTCTTACCTTGTTCTTCACCTCCCGTACGATGTCCAGGTAGGGTGTTCCTGGCTTCACCATGAGCAAGTCTGCTCCCTCCCGAACATCCCGGTCCTAAGGGATGAGGCATGGCGTGGGCAGTGCCTGGGAGGCGAGGCGACTGGGGTAGGGGGAGAGGCTGGGTGGGGCTCACTCACCACCGCGCGGAGGGCCAGGCCTCGTGCCCCGGGTGGCAGCTGGTAGCAGCGGCGATCTCCGAAGGCTGGGCTCGACTGAGCCGCGTCCCTGGGAAGCAGAGACACCAGGGTGAGCTCCAGCTTTGGGCTAGCAGGTCAGGGATTCAACAGCAGACCCTGATCCATCCCTACTCACCGGAAAGGTCCATAGAAACAAGAAGCGAATTTGGCACTATAGCTCATCACTGATACCTACAGGGAGATAACAGGGGTCTCGGCTCAGTCAGCCCTTTCCACGTGTCCCAGGGTGAAGTGACGAGGAGAGGAAGGACCCAGGTCCAAAGACGAGCCTGTGTCCTAGGCCCACTGGAGCTCCAGGCTTTGCTTCGCCCATGTGAGGAGCAGACGCAGGGGCAGGTCTGGCCCAGGCTCTCTCTCCTCCCCACACCCCTCCCCTACCCTGTTGCCGAATCCATGTGCCATCAGCGCTCCCTTGATGGCCTCCACGCGTCCGTCCATCATGTCTGACGGGGCCACCACCTGACATCCTGAAGGGCAGAGGGTGGCCTTCAGAACTCTGGGATCCTCCTCTGTCCACCCTGCTGCCTCCCTGACCTGGGGGTGCTCATCCCCGCTGGGGGCTCACTCACCTGCCTTGGCATAGGCCAGAGCCACCTCTGCCAGCCGCTGGCGGCTCTCCTCGGCTTGGAATGACCCGTTCTCACTCAGAAGCCCTGCAGGACAGACAGATGGATTTGGGGGAACAGCTCGGGCCTTAGCGCATCCCTAGCGCAGTGGGAGTACGGGTGGCAACGGTGGGAGGTGGGAGCTCACCGCAGTGACCGTGGGAGGTGTAGGGGCACAGGCAGACGTCGCAGGCCACAAGGAGGCTGGGGAAATTCTTGCGCAACAGACGGATGGCCTCGATAGCCGGGGAGTCCTCGGAGTCGGCTGCGGAGCCCCGCTCATCCTAGCAGCAGGGGAAGGACAGCGTGGTGTATCTGTTACATGAAGCCTTAGGCAGGCACGGTGGCCCGCTATCAGAGCAGGCCAGCCCACTCCTTCATCACCACCACCGCCCCTGGACCAGGAGGCCTGCGGAGGACTGTTCCTGCTTTGTACAGGGGACCTGACTTGCCCATTCAGAGTTGCAGCCCTGCTTCGCTTCCTGATGCCACACGGCTGCTGTTTCCAGGGCAGGGGCTGTGTTCCTTCACCGGTGGCCCCAGGCCACCCATCAGACAGATGAACGCACCCATCAGATAGATGGGCAAGCTGAGGCCCCATGTAGCAGAGCCCCGGGCCAGCACCAGGCTGGAGCGAGGGTGTGGTCATTGTGGAACCTCAGCTTATCCCTCCCCCCAACCCTTTCCTCTGACTCCTCCTCCGATTCATCACCTTGGGAACTCTGCTGGGGACACCAAAGATCAGGACACAGCGCAGGCCCTCTTCCACCAGGGGTTTCAGCATCTCTTCCAGGCGGTTCACACCGTACCTGTGTGCCGGGGCTGAAGTGAGGCAGGGCCCAGGCAAGGGTCCCCCCACCCCTCTGGTCTGAGCCTCTGGTAAGAGTCAAGTTGCAGATGGCATTAGGAGGGCTCAAGTTTCACAGTACAGGGTGGGGCAGGAACGCACCCATCAGACAGACGGGCAAACCGAGGCCCCATGTGGCAGAGCTGTGGGATTCAGCTTGGAAGACCCCTTCAAGGTTCTTTTACTGAGCTCCCATCTGAACTTCAACTCTTCTCTGCTGTGATGCCTTTGGTGATAGGCACCAGGCTGCCTCCTCTGTTGTGGAACAACTCAGCCCCCGAGAAAACCCTTCTGACCGGAAGTCAGCCTCTCCAGATCGTCTCTCTCCTGGGTCTGCATCAGCTTCCTGGCACCTCCACCTGTGAAATCGCTCCCTCCATCATAACCCTGCCCTCCCCACCCCAACTCCTACCTGGCCACTCCTGGAAGGCTGGCGATGGGCTGTTTGTCATCAGGAACATCCCTGCAAGAGCCAGGGATGGGCTATGGATTGGTAGCTGTGGGAAGGGCCAGTGGTGAGGGGGTGACTGGGAGGGATGGCTGGGAAGCTGGGAAGGGATATGGAGGCGGAGGTGGTGGGAGGAGGATGGGATCCAGTGTCTGGTTTCCCTGCCTGGCCAAGCCCAGGGCCTGAAATAATAATAGGAACAACAAGAATAACAGTGACAACAAGCAACTGTGCTCGAAGAACAGTACTCACAGGGAGGAATCAAGTGGCTAAGAACTTGGACTCTAAGGTCAGAAGGGCCTTGGTTGCTAGCCCAGTCACTTACTGCCTGGGTGACCCTGACCACATGATATTCTCTTTGATCTGTATCCTGGGTCGATTCATTCACTCATTCAACAAGTGTATATATATATATATATATATATATATATATATATATATATATATATATATATATATAGGGGATGCACTGCGCAGCTTATGGGCTCTTAGTTCTCCAACCAGGTAATGAACCTGGGCCCTCGGCAGCGAAAGCATGGTGTCCTAACTGTTGGACCTCCAGGCAATTCCCTATTCAACAAATATTTATTAAGTACTTATTATGTGTCAAGTACTGTTCTTGGGCTGGTGATCCGACAGTGAACAAAACAGACAAAAATCCTTGCCTTTGTGGAGATGACATTGTAAGGGATCATATCCTATTTTTCGCATCTGAATACTGTCAGCATAGAATGAGATAATATGTATAGGTGCTTAGCATAGTAGTACCCAGGGTACACTAAGCCCGCAATAAGAGTCAGGTGCTATCATGAATGATCATAACATGACTTTTACATGTACAACCTAAAGAAGATCTCAACTTCTGTTTTATGGCACAAACTCAGGATGACAGGCAAGGATTATTTTTATCTTCCAACAAGGAGGACTGTATTCTTTTCAAGGTTTGTTTTTTTTCAAAGATGGTTGTCCTAAACCCATAGGTCACTTCCAATTACCTTGAGCTACAAGCTGACAGTTCACTTTACCCCTTACAACACAGACACCTGCTCTGTTCATACATACACACACCCCCGACCTACCCCCTGTAGATCAGAGACCTGGCTCATTGGGGGACTCACGTGACAAAGATGGGGTAGATGAGGTTGGAGGCGCTGAGGTTGGTGGCGGCTGTCTGCCAGTTCCGGAGCAGGGGGTGGAAGTAGCCGCTGTGAAGAACTGACTGAGGATGCATGGTGGGCACAGGACAGTCAGCTGGCTGGAATGGAGGTCTCCCAGGGGGTCTGCCGTGAGCTCAGCTCTGGGGGCAATGAGAGGCACATGAGGCATGGTCCTTGGTACCCGGAGGTGGTCACATTCCCCCAGGCTCTAACCCAGTGCTACTGGTGTTCATCAGTCCCTGCCAGCCTGCATCAAGGTAAGTAGACACATGATAGTAGGCCTTCAGAAACTTCCAGAGCAAGGTGAATCTAATAATATAAAATCTGGATTTGTATTTTATACAGTCACTCTTAAAAAAAAAACAAAACATGTCTCTAATAATTTATTTTCATTGTACTTTATCAAAGAATCAGTCTGGGATGGACTGGACATGAATGACTATGAGAATCCTTGATCCAGCCACCACTTCAGCTCTGCCTATTCCATGAATGACATCCATGGGCATGGCAGGAATTTTAGAAAAGTACAGATAAGCAGAAAGAGAAAAATTCTGCCTCTAGGGAAAAGCAGTGCTAACCCCTTGACCCATGGACTTCTTAACAGGTAGGACACAGGTGAACAGGATTAAATGGCACAGTGTCCGACAGAGCGACAGACACCCCTGGGAGTGGCCACAAGTGTCTTTTCCAGCCAGACAGCCTCATGTTGCTCCCCAAGCACCTGCCACACTTGGCCACCTTCTGGCTCACCTTCTTTCCCTAGGAGGCTGTGCTCCTCTTTCCACAGCTCTCCCACGCCCAAATCCGACCGGGCTCTCCACGAGGCAGCCCCTTCTCCCCTGTCCCCCTGCAGCATCTCCTCTGGCCCAGATCAGTCTCTCTTATGTAACAGTTCTCTGTGGACCTGTCTTATCTCGTCCCAGTAGGCAGAGCTTCTGCAGGGCAGGGTCCACACTTAGTTCATTTCTGCCTCCCCCACAGCACTCTGCCACACAGTAAATATTTAATCACATGGAGTACAAAGACAACACGCCCTCAATGCCAAATAAGAGGTGTAAGAAGAAAGCTGCAGCATTGAGATGTGTTTCCTGAGCACCTACTATGTGCCAGGCCACGGTGGGCACTCGCACAGCACGTGGTTTCTCATCTAGCTGGCACTGCTGTAGTGGGAAGCTGGGCTGACTGAGTGCATCTTGGAGAGGCCGAGCCCACTGTGAACGAGCCAGGACTTTTCCAGTGTGAGTCAGGAGGTCAGAAGCTTGTTGGAAGAAGACAGGACTCGAAGTTGGTTTTGCAGGGTGAGTGGGTTCAGCTTGGTAGAGGGAAATGGGAGTACGTTCCCTCTGTAAGGGAAGGCAGGGCCCAGGCTGGGGCAGGAGGATGGGGTGTGGATGGCTGGGAGGGCTGAAAAGGCAACTGAGGATGAGTGTTTGGAGATGAGTGTTTGGAGGAGAGGAGCCGGGGGGTGGGTGGGGGGTAGCCAGGATGAGGTCAGGGAAGATTTCTGAGCTGGGTGGGGAGGGGCTTGGTCAGAGACTGCCTTTAGGAAGATTATTCTTGCAGCATTAGTGGAGCCCAGCCAGCTAGGAGTAGAGGAGGACAGAGGCTGTGGGGCTAAAGGGGCGGGAAGGAGGGGCCATCCTACTGCGGCCAAGAGGCAGTCTCTTGGGGCGGATGCTCTAGCTTGCTTGACCTGGAGGATAGCGGAGCCAGTGACAGGCAGGAAGAGGGCGGTGGGAAGCTGAGCTCGGAAAGAGAGGAGGTGGAGAGCTCTGTTTTAGACACTTCCTTTTGGAAGTGCCTAACAGCCAGCTTGGGGAGGCAGGGTGGTGGGCTGCGATGACAAAGAGCCACCAATCTCTCCTTGTCTGAATGGGACCTAGAGGCCCAGGGAGGGGCAGGGACTTACCCAAAGCTGCTCAGTCTCCGGGCCTGTTGTGGGAGGGGGGTCCCTCAGTACAATAATGATGCCTTCCCCTCCCTCTGTCCCCTGGCTTCCTCCCAGCTAGCTCAGGGGCCGGCTTTGTCTGATCCTCCTCCTTGGCGGGGCTGGGGTTATCAGGAACCACACAGGTTCCACTTTGCCGCCACACCCCCGGGGCCAGCCACATCATCTGACCCAGGGCAAGCCAGGCCTCCCCAAAGATGGCCCAACCCCCATATGACCAATCGTTCAGAAGATACAAAGTCCTGAGCGCCGATTCTGTGCAAGATTTGCTCTCAGGTCTGCCAAGGATTAGCCCAGCTCAGAGAGGTTAAGTCTCTTGCTCAAGACCACACAGCTAGTTAGTGACTGAGCCAGAATGTGAGTTTGTTGCAGACAATGACCACAGGGTTTTGCCTACTATACCCCATGCTACTGATAAACACTTGATTCAGCACAAGTCTCTCTGCCTATGCTATCTCTGCCTTGAGGCTGGAGAGGTGCAGGATATCAGAGGAAAAAGTACTGAGGGTGTGTCACATGCTGGGCACTGCACTAGGTACTTTATACACATATATTATCTCATGTAATTGCAGAGAATTGTCCTAATTTTTAGTGCTAAGAAGACAGAGACTCAGAGAGGTGAAGTGACTTGCTCAACGTCATTCACATTCTGAAGCTAGGTTCTAACTTACTTTCCAGAGAACAACCTTTATGGCAGCTGGCCCCAGGCTTCTGGAATTCAAGACTGCATTCCAGTGGCCTCAACTCTACATCTACTTTAGAAGGCTGCTGAAGGAACAAATGGCTTCAGAAGCAACAGGGCAGGGCTGCTTAGGGCTGCGCAGTCCTAATTTACCCAGAGGAGACTGGGGGTTTCAGGGGTGGGGGGCAAGGGAGGAGGGTGAGGGTGGTAAGGGGCAGAACTTACTGACACAGTTCCACTTTTATCTGCTTTTTTTTTTTAAATTTTAGGTTTCAGAGAAAGATTTGAGAAATGGCTGTTAGTGCTGAAAACATTAAATGAGTTGAAATCACCAATCCTGTTTAATCTCTCACATTCTGCTGTAGAAACAGGGTGCAGAAAATGACAGGAGTTGTTTGACACCCATGGCAAGTCATGTACGGCTCTGAGCTTGACCTGGCTTCCACTCAAGTGCCCTGTTACCTGCCCCACACACAGTCATCCTGTTACATATTAGCTTAGTAAACAAACATTTGTGCAGTAGAACAACACCCCCTGAATATCAGAGCCAAATCCAGATGCAAGTTTTGCTTTCTCAAAAGACCCTCAAAGACTGGAAGATTTGTCACAAATTTGGGAAAGGCCCTTCTCCTAAATTAAGGGAACCTGTAAACCACAGCTCAAATCCTGTGACACCACACCAAAGACAAGGGCAAGTCACCATGGGATTCAGAACACATTAGCTTAACTGGCAGGCTGTAGTAGGCGGTGCAGAAAGAACAACGTTTCAGGGTCAAACAGTCCCAGGTCTTGTCTGTGTGTGACTCTGGGCAAGGTTGCAGAATCTTCATTTCACAGTTTATGAAATGGGAACGATACTATCTAACTTACAAAGCTGCAGAGAAGATCAGAGATAGTGAAGAGGTAGTGCCTGGCACAAGGAGCCACACAGTAAACACGTAGCCGCTGCTACTTTTACTATCATCAGGAGCAGAAGTGAGCTGACTAGACCTCCAGGAGGGTCCTCACAGCTGTGCCTTCTGCACCCAGAAGGGAGAACATTCCTCAAGCCTGGATGGACCACAGGATCTTCCAGGGTATCTGAAGTGGGGGTTCCTGCCTTCCAGCAGTAGATGGTAGAGGAGAAACCATCACCATACTGATGCTTCGGTAGAGGGGTAGACTATAGGCTATGGGAGGGACCTGTCTCTCTGGGAATCAAGGATGGATAGCTTCATGGAAGAGGGGACACTGAGGCATAAGTAAATTTCAGACTGGTTGTGAAAATATCTCCTTCCTTGGAAGGTAACCTCCCTAACCCGAGAGTAACCTAAGTTGGGCCCTAGAGAACCACCACCAGGAGGAGCTGAGAAGAGCTCTGGGTCTGACGCGCCCATGCTGTGTTGCTCTGAGGATTCCAGAGGCTATGGTTTCGGCACAAAGGGTTGCAAGCTGCTGCCAGGGAAGGCTGGCTCTGCCACTAGCAGGGGAGGAGACAATCAGGAGAGCCAGCTAGGTAAAAGGTGCTCAGGGCTGAGAAATCCAAAGCCCCAGAAGGACCCAGTAGGTAGGCAGTTCTGAAAAGGATCCGACTGGCTGCCTGTTTATTCAACCTGCATTTCCTGAATATCTATTCCGGCCTGCCCCAGGACTTGGAATGGGGATTAAACAGAAGGAGACCCAGGCCTTGTCTTGACTTTGAAGAGCCCAGTTTCATCTGGGCTTAGCTATTTGGAACTAAAAGGAGAATCTGCCAGTTCCGAACTCCTAGAACATATTGGTTAAGGGAGTTCCTTAAAGCGTGCTGATTACATCACTGAAATGATGGTAATCTGGGCTGACACTGGTCCAAGATTGTACAGAGGGTCAACGGGGCTAGAAGCCCTCCAGCAAAGAATTCTTCAGTGTCCACCATTACCCCTGGATATTTTAAGTACAGATTTCAAAGCTGCCTATCAGCAGAGGTGGGCTCCTGGAGAGCTCTGCGAGAAAGGAATAGAGGAGGGAAGAGGCAGAACAGTGACTCTGAACCTGGCTACAGCTGGGAGCACGACGGTTACAGCGTGTGGGTTTTGGAGTCTGTGGATGTGGGTTCAAATTCTGATTCTGTCACTTTTCAGCTGTAAGACCTCAGTTTCCTCATCTGGTAAATAAGGACTTGAACCGACCTCGATGGGCTGATATGTGACGGAATAGGCCAATGCAGATAACGTTCAAGCAATCCTAGCACTGAGCGGCTGTTATTGTTTGCATCGCCATCCCACATCCTGCGAGGCACCTCGGGCTCTGAACCGAAGGAAAGAGCCCCGGTGGTCTCCAACTGAAAGGACCCCAGAGGAGACTCGGAGCCAAGACCCGGGTCTCTAAGGGCAATGGCCAGGCAGAGAAAGCCTCCAAACCCCGCTGCAGCTGAACAGTCTACCTTTAAGAGCCCCAAATGGGGGTCGCGCGGTGACTCCGTCCCCGGCTGCACAGCCGGCGCTTGGGGCGCACAACACAACCTGGGTCTGGGGACACAAGACTTTGGTGCCATAGCCCCCTCCTCCAAGTCCGCCATTTCCCCGAGGCCGGACCCTACTCACCCGCCTCCCTAAGGGGGTCCGAGACACCGCTCCCGCCACCGCTGTCGCGCGTTTTAGTCTCCCGGAGCCCACGTTGGGGCGGGGCGGCTCTTTCGAAGCAGCACTCCCCCCACCCACGCAGCCCGCCCCCGACGGCGCGCAGGCCACGCCCCCTACGGCATTTTGCCTGAGGGCTGGTCCGCTCCCGCCGCGGCCCCTCCCACGCGTCAGCAGGCCTGGCCAATCGAGTGCGCCGAAGGGCTGGCGGGCCCGCCCCTCCCTTGGCTGAGATTTGCGCATGCGCAGGGAAAGGCCCTAGGGAGCCCAGTTGCGGGTCAGGGGAGGGGCTGTTATGTGCTGCTTGTGGACCGGCTTCGAAGATGGTTTTGTTTAAATCCCCTCTCTTCCCAGCCTAGCGCATACTTGGCGCTGGTTGCTTGTTGAAAGAATAATTAGATGTCTAGGACTTTAAAACAACACCGTCGTGCCTAGCACAATAAGTCCACTTTTGCGGACTAAGCACCTCAAAGTTGTTGAGTTCAGCAGCAGGCTGCCCTCCAAGCTTTCAGAGAAAAGTTATTCCAGCGTAATTTTTCAGGGCTTACTCTGTGCCATCGTTTGGGAAATGTGATGTGAAAGACATGGGCACTTTGGAATGACTTCAAGTCTGGTAGGAGCATCAAACCTGTCTGTCTATCATGGGTACAAGCAGAGATTTGACCAAAAGTCTGAGGGTGAGTGGGCAAAGTGCAGCAGAGTATATTCAAGGGCAGGAGGGATCTGGTGAGTCTTATGGGGCTTGGGTGAACTGGTAACCTCAGATGAGTGAAATAAGGGTCGGGATCAATACCGTAGCAAAGGAATTCCTTTGTAAAAGTGAGACAGGGATTATTGAACAGTTGATTTTGAACTGTGAAGGATGCCAGTGGGTTGTATTACACTTATTCTCAGGTTTTATTTATCAAAATCTGTACTCCAAACCTGTTTTATACGTCTTTATATTCCAAGTCTAAGAGACAGGCTTAAAGCTGGGAAAATATGATACTGCTTATTTCCTAGCTACTAGAGTTCTGATCTGTGTTCAAATAAGGAAGGTGGTGGAAAGAAAGTAATGTTTTTTGTGCATTAAAGAGTCCAGGGACAGTACCATACCTTTTACATTCACTTATCTATATTTGATGACAACTATGTTACTACCTTCATTTTATAGATTGGGAAAACAATTGCCAAGAGATTAATTTGCCCCATGTCACCACTAGGATTTCTCTTCAATGCATGTTTACCATACTTCTTCAACTCATAGAGGTGTGTTCAATCACTCAGGTGTGTCTGACCCTTTGCAGCCCTGTAGACTATAGCCTGCCAGTCTCCTCTGTCCATGGAATTTTCTAGTCAAGAGTACTGGAGCTGGTTGCCATTTCCTACTCTATGGGATCTTCCGATCCAGGGATCGAACCCAAGTCTCTTGCATTGGCAGGAGGAGTCTTTACCACTAGCACCACCTGGGAAGCCCCCCTTATAGAGGTAATCACAGGGTGGAAATTTTAATCTATTTTGCCCATGTCTTTTTGGCCATGCCATGCCATATTCGGGATCTTGGTGCTGTTTGGTACAATCTTTTTTTCCATGTCTCATGCGGGATCTTATTTCCCCCACCAGAGATGAAACCTGTGCCCCCTGATTTGGGAACTCAGTTTTAACCACTGGTCCACCAGGGAAGCCCCTGTCTCTCTTATTCTTGGTTTACAGACCTGTTTCCACTTCCTGCAGCCTTTAAAATATACTTTTACCTTAATCTGTTACTCTTAACCATCAAAAGTACTGTGAATGCAACAATATAAATCTTAAATATAATGTTGAACAAAAGGAGTCAGGCACAAGAGAACATATTGCATGATTTCGTTTAAGTAGAAAGCCAGGCAAAATGAATCTGTGCTGGGAGTCAGGATCGCGACTACTACTGGGTAGAATAGGGAATAATCAGAAGGGAAATCAGACTTTTTTAGGGTGCTGGTCATGTTGTTTATTGATCTCAGTGTTTTATGAATGTGTTGTTTGTGAACATGTACAAAACTCTCCTCTTATTTGTACTTTTAGTATGTATACCGTACTTACTAAATAAAAATAAAAACAAACAAAACCAAGCCCCCACTAAATTACTTTGAGTGCCTCTCAGGTAGGTACACATGAAATTATGTTAGAAATCAATATTACCTAAATAAAAAAAATTATATAATTTGAAATGAATATATTAACATAGAATGAGCAAACTGAAACTTGAAATTTATTTCAAATTCTTCTGCTCCAAAAACAAATACTTGACAACAGTGCCTCTGATGTTTATCAGAAGCCACAGGGATTAGTCTTTAATTTCATCACAGAGGACAAATGTTATGTTGTGTGTGTATCCAGATTTTACATTTTTCCTAGTCTACTAGTATGAAAGAAAACTAATTATCTTAGACAAGATGATCAGTTTCATTCTTTTTTTTTTTTTTAGGTTTTCACTATTTATTTATAACAGATATTCCATGTCCTGGATCGTCTCTATAGTCAGAAGTTCTTTGAGATGATGTCGTCAGCCTTGGCCAGCTGGAGAATGGAGTCATTTGACTCGCCCCTCCTGCGAATGGCCCCGCAGATAGCAGAGGTTTTGAACTGGCCGTTGAACCTGCCTGTCACTTTGTCAACCTCAGACGCGTTCATCTGGATGGACGCATGGTCCTTGGCGCCAATGATAGGGTTCCACAGCACATACAGATCCATGAACTTTCAGGCGCCGTTCTGCATGTTGAGCGAGCGTCTCGGGCCCTGCACTGTCCCCCTTGCCCGGACACCAGCCTACCTAGTTTCACTGATTCTTTCACGGAATCTCAGAGCTTCTTATAAAAATGATTTCTTTCCAATTTGGAATCTGTTCTGTTAATTCAAAGGGAAATGAACATGTGTACAGAAGAGAAAAAGATAAAAACAAGGCCTTATTTTGTATATGCCATTGTGTTAAGAATCTTCTATTATGTGTTAAAATTCTTTCAAGATATGTATTATACTGCCAATTTGGAGATGAAAAAACTGTACTTTAGTGTATTAAAAAAAAAACAAAAACTTGTACAGTAACCAACTATGAAGGACTCTGTATGCTGTTTTAGCAGGGACGTAATACTGTCACATCATAGCTGTTAGAGATATGTCATCAGTATAAATTGCAAGGGAGAAATAAGAAACAAATATATATTGAATAACTTTGTCTTTCATACAAATATAAATGTAAGAGCAGGGAAAAAAAAGGGGTTTCTGCTGTGGAGATGGAAAAGCCACTGGGGTTGTGATTGTATGAAAAGTGCTTTGAAACAGCTAATAGATCAGAGGTGATACGGTGCTGCAGATGAAATCATGGAGGTAACAGCAGTGCTCCTTCATAGGGTTTAAGAGTTAATACTTGATAGCAGTTTGAACACTGCCAGACACATAGCAGGGATTCAATAAATGCTCGCATCTAGTACGTAGAGGGTGCCCAGCAGAGCCTTGGAAAGCTCTCACTGTGGTTGAAGAGCAGCACCCTTACCTGTTAACAACCAACATCTGCTGGTGGTCCGAGGTGATGCAAGAGCCCGTATTTACAAGGATCTGGCCCAGTTCACACCACAAGAACTGTACAGAACACGACCCGTGGTCCTCCCCCAAAGCACACTTCTATCAACAAGAAGGATGATAGAGGAGTCATCACTTTTAACAATAATGTTTTTTATTATACAAAGCATTATAATTTTCTCAATATTCTTCACTCAATTAGCAACAGACTTTCCACTGTATTCATTTAATAAATCAACAGTGTCAAACTACACTTCACTACCTTTCAACCTCCAAGCACTCAACTTAAAGAGACCAACAAAAAAGTGCTTGGAGCACCAAATGGAAAGAGAAGAAAACCTGGAAAGGTCAACAGAGATACTTAGAAGCAGTTAAAGGGGATGGGTTAGGGGCGGAATTAAATTCCTGAGCACCATCAGATTTCCCTCATGGGTCAAAAAGGTTTACAAAATCAGTTTTAAGACATGAGATTAGAACTAGAGAATCAGAGGAACCCATACTCTGGGATATTGCAGGTCATCCAAGTCCCTAGGTTGGCAGAAGTAAAAAAAAGAGGGACGGAGAAAGTGGGAATGGGGAGCAGAGGAGAGGCAGGGCAGAGACAGGTGGTGAGAAGCGAAGAGGGAGAAAGTTGTGCCTAGAAGAAAATAAAGTTCGGAACTTGTCGTGAATTGGAAAAATGAAAAGTCATAGTCACAAATCTGGAAGATGGACTACTGGACACGAAAACCTGGAATTTTATACCTTCCAGGAAGTGATGACAAATCCTGAAGCTGTACAGTGGCAGGCAGTGAGGTGCATTTAAGACTAAACCATCTTACTGTTTTATAAGAGTAAGACATTGGCAACCTTGCTTATCTAATTCTACTCTGTGGATTTAAAAACAGTATGTGCCTAGAAGGTAGCCTTCCAAGCAGGTTACACGCAATATAGAAGGTTACAGGCCTGGTTACAGACATTACAGAAGGGCTCTAAGCCAAGTGGGTCTGTAGAAAACAAAATTCAATTAATGTTACTGTCAAGTGAAGAGACAGCAGATTTCGTTGTTCTCTTCAACCCTGTTAGTAGTTTCCTAAAGCTAAGCCATTCTGATCACTTGAAATAAGCTAGAATTGCCAAATACTGTATAATCAAATAGGGTGACTCTGATCAAACCCTAATTTTTCCTGAGCCTGAACTGCCTCTGTGATCTGGGACACAGTTGGCAGCATGGAAGTTATTATTACTTTTCTGGGGGGCAGGGAGGGAACTGGGGACCAACAATTGCCTAACTATATGTGTATGTAAACAAAAGAGATCAAACTGACCAATTAAATTTGCCATTCAGAATCCCTCTTGCCAAAAAGTTATAACCTTGAGACTGATTAAGCAAAACAGGATTCTGCTACTCAGATGCTCTGAGTCTGGGAAGCACTGACTTTGATGATAATCCTGATGATAATTCAGTTTTTATTTCAATCTTCTCAGGCTCTTCTGCCTAAGACTACTCTGCCCAGCAGGAAAAAGCTTCACACAAACGTGTACCAGGTTTTCGCGTGGTTCCTTCCAAGGGGCATCTCCCCATCCTCTTCAGTTGTCCACTTCCTCCTCTTCATTCTGTTCTTCTTCCTCCAGCCTTTCCTCATCTTCATCGTTGTCCTCATCCCTGCTCTTGTCCTGCTCTTCCGAATCTGTTTTTTTGTCTCTGTCTTTCTTCTTTTGCTCTGAAGCTTCCTTCTTGCCTTTCTGCTCCCTCCTATAAGCTGTAACGGTAAAGAGGACGTTAGGAGGCAAGGCTGAACCAGACAGACAGCAGCAGCAAACTCGACTGGGTAACGGGAAAAGCTGAGGTACAAAAGGAAAAATAATCTGCCCAGCATCACCAAACAGATAATGAGGTGGTGCCTACCATTTGAGTCGCATCCGATACTTGCTACTGGACTTTTAAAAGAGACTCAAGTTGATCAAATCTCAGGGCCAGGTTGAGCAGGTCATTTAGGATGAACATCTACTTGGATGTTCAAGAAGACGAAAGGGCAGTTACCTTCCAGAGCTTCTTTTAACGGGGTAACGAACCGCTGAAACTCCATCTCCTCCATGGCGGACAGCACATCGCTGGCATTCAGTGTCTTGCGTTTCCCTTTCATCGCAAAGTTGTTGGCACTGAAAGAAGAAAGATTAAGGGCTGTCAGATGCCCTCTTGCCGCGTACGGTGTGGGTGGGAAAAGGAGCACCCAAGGTGGAATGGGAAAGCCTGCGTCTTAGATGCCTGCATGGATTCTTGTGACACGCTAAGTCCCACCCTTCCTTATACAAAAGGGTTAAAGGAACTGTCTTACTTTGTTTCAGACATTTCAAGATCTAGAACGAGGGCTCGGAACCTCGCTCCACTGAGGCAGAATTATTGGGGTTGCTAAACTCCCAATCAGGGGGATCTCTTTACGCCTTCCTTAGGCTTTAGCCCAGCTAAGCTTCGGCTAAGTCTGCCCACCTTACCAGGATGTGGCGTACAGCACGAAGACGCTGGCGGCGCGGGAGATGGCGCTCCGGGCCTCCTTGGAGATGTTGACACCGTCCGGGAGCTGTGAGAAAAGCGGAGGTGAGCAAACCCACCGACCCAGCACCTGTTTCCCTCTGCCCGCTCGTCCGCCCCTGGTCCGGCCGCCAGCTGGAGCTGCTTACCGCCTCCTTGATGATTCTGGTGATGACAGCATTGGGCAGGTTTAGGTCCTCGGGCCTCTCCGCCATGGTCGCGGCCGGGGACCGTGCCTGCGACCTCCTCTTCAGGCCGCTACGGCGTCCGGACTTCCCGCGTCGCCACGGTCTGACCCAGCGAGGCTTCCGTCCCACCCCGCGTGGCCCACACCGTGTCCCACAGTGCCCCGCGCGCCTGAGCCTCCTTTCTCCCTCAGCCCCGCCTCCGCCTCCAGTGGCCGGTGCGTCTGAACTTCCCAGGCTGCCATGGTTTTGGCCCGAGGGCCTTCCGTCCGGCCTCACAGGCACCTGGCGTCCCTTCCCAAGGTGTTTCCCTGCTTCACGGCTCCATCGCATCTAGAAATTAACTATGGCTCACTGGGGTTTCCGTCCCTTTCCCATAGCGCTTTGCGCCGCTGCCTGGCGACGGAGCTGCCGGGTGCCTAGCGTGGGAGACGGAGGCGTGAACAGAGCCAGTGGGGCGGGGCTCCTTCGGACGAGGGGCGGGGCTCCTTCGGACGAGAGGCGGGGCTTCTCGCCCACCTCTTCGCCCGTCCGGAGCTGCGACTTCCCTTGGGGCTTGGTGTCCTAATAACTTGGTTTCTGCTTTTGTTTCAAGGAATCGCGGCCATCTGTTGCCTCATTCTCCCACTAATCTTTTTAGCCTTCTCAACTTTGTAATAATGGTATTAAGAATAGCTGTTACCTAAAACTTTTTAATACAGACTACTTTGCCAGCATGGTGCTAAAGCGGGCAATATCGACACAGGCATGACTAGACCTCTGGGCTCAATTCGGGCTGGTTGGGTAACCAAAGGGCAACACCTAGCCATTTGTAAGAGTAACGTAACATTACATAAGCATTCAAAAACAAACCCTGTTACTGTTGTATTTGTTTTTTGTTTCACTGAATTGTTCATCGTGCATTTTTCCTAGTCAAAAATATTTTTCATGGTTTTGCAGGGGCTTTTTAAGTCCTGTCATTTTTCTGTTACATATGTAGAAATTGTCCTCAGGCCCACTGAGCAGAAATTGTTTCTTTTTTTTCCTTGAAGCTTGCTATTTCAGGTCACTTTTAGTTTTCCTGTTTGTGTTAGAAACATGAGCGCAGAGAACTATCTCTCTTTTGTAAGAAAAAGAGCAGCAAAACCGATGATAAATGGCAACTGAAACTGCTTCAGATACAGATGATAGACTTTGGTGGGGGAAGTCTCCACTTGGATAGAATACACCTGGTTTAAAGATGTCAGGAAGTACTCAGCTCCAGCCAGGTGCTGTGTAGTTGGAATTGGGCCTCCGTGTTGATACGGAGAAGGCAATGGCAACCCACTCCAGTCCTCTTGCCTGGAAAATCCCATGGACGGAGAAGCCTGGTGGGCTGCAGTCCATGGGGTCGCTAAGAGTCGGACATGACTGAGAGACTTCACTATCACTTTTCACTTTCATGCATTGGAGAAGGAAATGGCAACCCACTCCAGTGTTCTTGCCTGGAGAATCCCAGGGATGGGGGAGCCCGGTGGGCTGCCGTCTATGGGGTCGCACAGAGTCATACACGACTGAAGCGACTTAGCAGCAGCAGTTGTTAGATATTTTGATCTTTAAGAGGAGCTGGAAATCTGGACAGTATATGGACTATTTCCATTTTTAAGTAATGGCTCAAAGTGCAGGCAAAATAAAACAAGCCATAGGCCAGGCGTAATTCCAGGTTACTGGTTTGTTATCTTTGGTTTAAATTATAAGCTGTTTAGAACAGAGACTTATTTTGTTCATTATTGTTCTCAGTGCTCATAACAGGTCCCCTCACATGTTTGGTAGTCAGTAATTGTTTTGAGTAAAACAAAGAAGAAATGGACACTGTCCTTAAAAAAACTTATTAGGGATCTGGTGGTAGTGATGGCCTAAAACATTTCGAGAGAGAGAGAGATAAAATTTATTGAGCGCCTGTTATATGTCATATGTAAAAGTATATTACCTCATTTAATGCTTCTGCAATCCTACTTAGGGATTTCCGCTTTCCTACTTTATATGAGGAAACAGGCTGAATTCACTTGCCCAAGACCATAGAGCCAGTAAATGAAAAGCTAGTGGCTTCTGATGCAACTTCTGAGTCGACTGACTTACTGTTTCAGCAAACCCATTCATTTCTGGTGGGTATTTTAGCTGCCTGTATGAGAACTGGAGCATATTGAAAAATGAAGCATCTCTTCTAAAGGTTTGAGCCATCTAAAGCACTTCTGTGACTCAGCTGTCCCTCGATACGATACCCACAGGGAATTGGTTCCAGAGCCCCTGTGTATACCGTAATTTGTGGATATTCAGGTGCCAAGTACGTTGGTTATAATTTGACAAGGCTTTTTGGAGATTGGGGCATCCTCTCCCTAATGATTAATGAAAGGGGAAAGGAAAGGATGTTAATAATTATTTTGAACTGTTTGCCAGACCTGTTAATATACATTAACTAATTGTAGTGACCCTGTGAAATAGGCTTTTCCTCATTTTGCAGCTAAGGAAACTGAAGCTCAGACTGGTTAAACCTCAGGTCACTCAGCTATTAATTAAATGGTCAATTGGGAGGCCTTCTCCAAATTCTTGTCACTCTATTCCGTGCTGAGATTTTCATACTTTCATGGTACCCTATTCTTAACAATCCTGTAACCACTGTTTATTGATATGATTCAATAAAAACCTTTTATGCTTTGAGTCTAAATTAATATTTGGACTAGCTAATGTATGTGAAAGTGAAAGTGAAGTAGCTCAGTCCTGTCTGACTCTTTGCGACCCCATGGATTGTAGCCTGCCACAGTCCATGGGCTCGTAGTATTCCCTAATTATATGGTGGTGGTTTCTGCAGAGGGCTAGAAAGCTGCAAGATTGGCTTTTGTCCTAAACCATTTGTAGATATGGATTTGCCAGATAAAAGCCAGTGGGATGAGACCACCTGTGACCTGGCTGTCTGTCAGCATCCGCAGTGCTGGGCAACTATCCGCCGGATTGAGAGGGGCCACCCTCGACTTCTGGACCCCTCCTCCAAATCTCTTCTGGATACTGAAGGTGAATTAGCCAGCCCTGTCTCCTCCCTTACAAGGTCCTTGAATTGTTTCTATTTGGCTCCCTTATGCCATGTTGTATGTTTTCTTCTGGTCTGCTCTTTCAGACAAGCTCCCAGTGCTTACCATTGTAAACATCACAGATTCCTGCTTGCCGGCCAAGAGAGTTATTCGTCGGCGTCACTTACCAGGATTTACCTTCACAAAGGCTCACACTTTATTGAGTTCAAAGTTTGACTCCAAGTTTCAAGGCAGGTAAATAATCATGGAATCTTCCTTAAATGGCTTAATACCTCAAAATTTTGGGTTACCTTTCTTTGCCTATGTACTGAACTTTGAGAAAGCTAGATTAAAAGCAAAGCATTAATGGGAAATGCCCTGGAGGTCCAGTGGTTAGAACTTGGCACTTTCACTGCTGTGGCCTGGGGTTCAGTCCCTGGTCGGGGAGTTAAGATTCCACAAGCCACGTGGTACAGCCAAAAAAACACCAAAAAACAACCCCACCCCCACCCCCGGACCCACCACCAAACAAGATAAACAAACCCTTTAGCAGTTCACTTAAAGGAGTAATGAGTAGGCAGTGCGGGAAACAGAAAGTATTCTTATTTGTTTTGTAGGAGTTGGTTAAACAATAACTCCTTTCCCTCCTCCCTCTCCTCCCTGGTGATGTCTGTCCTATTTTGCTTTTCGCCTCAGTGCGTTTTGCCTGTTCTAGGTACGTCCTGTAAGTGGACTCATACAATATTTGTTCTTTTGTGTTTGGCTTATTTCACCTTGGATAATGTTTTCAAGCTTCATTGATGTCGTCACATGAACAAACTTCATGCCTTTTTAAGGCTGAAAAATGTTCCATTGTATGTCAATGACACATTAAAAAAATTATTTATTGATTTATTTGGCTGTGCTAGGTCTTTGCTGCACCGGCTTTTCTCTAGCTGTGACAGCTGGGGGCTGCTTTTTAGTTGCGGTATGCGGGCTTCTCATCGCAGTGGCTTTTCTTGTTGTGGAGTGCGGGCTCTGGGGCACATGGGCTCCGTTAGCCGTAGCTCTTGGGCCCTAGAGCCCAGGCTCAGCGGTTGTGGTACATGAGCTTCGTTGCTCCTCGGCATGTGGGATCTTCCCGGATCAGAGATTGAACCTGTGTCTCCTGCATCGGCAAGTGGATTCTTTACCACTGGGCCACCAGGGCAGCCCCACATTTTGTTTATGGGCTTCCCTGGTAGCTCAGATGGTAAAGAATCCACCTGCAGTGAGGGAGACCTGGGTTGGGAAGATCCCCTGGAGAAGGACATGGCGACCCACTCCAGTGTTCTTGCTTGGAGAATCCCCATGGACAGAGGAGCCTGGCGGGCTACAGTCCATGGGGTCGCAGAGTCAGACACAACTGAGCGACTAAGCACAGTGCAGCATGTTTTTGAACATCTCCATAAAAATTACTGAATAAATTTTTACTGATGGTGATGTAACTGTCTGTAGTTGGAGAAAGGTGTAGGTTAGGAATTCAGTTTGATGCAACAAATAGTTGTGAAGGGTTTGCAATGTGCAATATCTAGAAGTTTTTCAAGGAAAAACAAACAAGCAAAACTTAAGAAGATGAGAAGACCTAACATTCATTTGGTAGGTATTAAGTCCAAGGTTTTCTGTAGATAAGGAGGAGGCTTTTCCTCATAGCACGAACTTTATCATCCCAGTAAGTCTTTTGTGACTCTGTTTCATGTTTGAAAACTCATTTTTTAGGCCTTGGAAGGATTTACCTGACAGAGACTTAATGAACCGTACTGACAGATCTCCCAAAGTAAGTCACAGATTAAAAAAGGTACTTCTTCAGCATTTTCTCTTTATTATTGGGAATAAAATGTTGCCTTTATTTAACATTGAGGATGACTGTGATCTGAATAATGATGATGATAACTACCTAATACTGAGCCCTTACTATTTGCTAGACTCTGTGCTAATGCTTTTACATGTTATACTGTTTCTAGAAATCCCCAGACCTAGTGGGATTTATTTGTGGTAGTTTTCCATAGTTAAGAATTTTCTATCTCTCCTGTATAGAGCATGTTCAGCTACTGTCATCTCATGATATAGGAATCTGGAATGTAAGATCTAAAATGAGCCTTAAGATCAGCTATACTCATGATTTTAAAACTTTTTTAGCTATCACTTATGGTAAGAAATACATTTTACAATAAAATACCATGGGACAATCTTTACCCTAACTGTAAGTTACACTATACTCTGAAAGTTTCTATCCTTTTCTATTTCATTTTAAGACAGTGGAGGCTGTGATTCACAAAATTTGATTTTGTGACCTATGAGTAAGTTACAACTACAGTTTGAACACTATTTCTGTGGTCTGTCTCATTTATCTCACAGTTGAGGAAACTGAGGCCCAGATAGGAAGTGATTTTTTTAAAAAGCACAGCTAGTTAGGAAAAGAGCTATATTTTAAGAAGAAAAAACCCTTCTACTTGTCTACAATAGAGATTACTATTCTTTGCAGTCCTACTGGATGCCTTTTATTTTTTTCTATGAGACCCTTCACTTTTCAGCATTATGTGGTAGAGAGTGGAAGGAACCAAGGGAGGGTAGATGGGTTTGGATAGATGAATGAACAAATCACTTACCTCTTTGGACTCTAGAGTGTTAGATTAAATTAGTTTTAAATTAATTGTTTGTTTAGGATAATACATGCATATGGTTCTAAATTCAAAATGCATAGGAGGGCTTATGGTGACCCAAATATCTCCTCTGTTCCCCCAAGTCAATCAGTTTCTTTTCATGGGGACAGCCTGTTTTTAATAGTTTTTTTCCTGCACGAATCCTGCTAGGGGTATACACTAGATGATTTATAAAATTTCCTTATAAATCTAGTGTCCTAAATAGCAAAATGTGAAAAAAACTTATGACTTTAACTTTTATGTAGATGCTTGTAATTGTAGACAGGCTATAAAAGAGAAAAACTTGCTTCTGCTTCTTTCGGTTCTCTCCCTGCTTCCAGATTGTATTGTTTTATCTGCAGGGGATCTTAGTTTTTGGAGTGTAGTGGGCAGAATAAGTAGTGTTCCCTTAGGTAAGCCTCAAGGCGTCCGGGAGTTGCTAAATGCTGCCCTAATATCACAGGGAGGCAGGGGAGACCATTCACTTATCAGTGCTCACTCTTGCAGAGTACCTTTCCTGATACCTTGGTTTCTTGAAGGAATATTATGAAGCTATTTTGGGGATAAGAAATGTTTATTTTATTTTATTTTTTAATCATCTTCTGAACCACCATACCTTTTTGGTTAACATGATGATTCATTCCTTAGCCTGGTAGTGAATACCATCAGGAGTGGTACCTTTAAACCTATACCTATGGTATAGTGGTACCTATAAAACATGGGTTTTATATCTTTCTCTTAGCTATCAGTGCTGAATTTGAATGAGACAAAGCTTCCTTGTCCTCAAGATGTAGGAAATATGGATATCATCTGGATCCCAGAGAAGCATGTGAGGTGAGTTATCATGTTGAGAACCTGGGAGTCTTCAACTCTTGTGTTCTACAAATGCCTGCTGTCTTCTGCCAGCCTTCTCTCTGTGAACTCCTTTTTAGCTACCTCTTTGCATGAAGGAGGAGGTGAAGCAGAGCAGAAGGTCATGGCCTCTTGCATTTACCTCTTGAAGTGATGTGAAGGTTGCTCTTTCATGTCCGACTCTTTGTGACCCCATAGACTGTACAGTCCATGGAATTCTCCAGGCCAGAATACTGGAGTGAGTAACCTTTCCCTTCTCCAGGGGATCTTCCCAACCCAGGGATCGAACCCAGGTCTCCCACATTGCAGGCAGATTCTTTACCAGCTGAACTACAAGGGAAGTCCAGGAATCCTGGAGTGGGTAGTCTATCCCTTCTCCAGCAGATCTTCCTGACCCAGGAATTGAACCAGGGTCTCCTGCATTGCAGGTGGATTCTTTACCAACTGAGCTATCAGGGAAGCCCTAAATGCTGCCCTGGAATTCCTGTTAGTGTACTTTGAGATTCATGCTTTGGGACTTTTCTACATCAAATTCTACTTGTCTGTAAATAGCATACAAGATAGGGCTCAATGTATTTGGGAGGTTTGATTAAGAAACAAATGCCTTCTGACTATCAGTTTTTCTTGTTAGTCATCAGCAACTAGTAAAAGTTTTCAGTGAAGCACCCGAATCTTTGGTCTCAAGCCAAAGGACTAGTACACTGATGCAAAATGAATAGCATATAGAACTTGTGTACAAAGCAGCTGTGATAAAGATCACTTGGTGAAGGTCCAAAGATTTGCTAATATTGACAATTGTTGGAAGAAACGGATTTTTCTTTCATGACTGCTGAGGTTCTCAGATTCTTTTAGAGTGACTGTTTAGACATGTTGTTCAAGTCGCTAAGTCATGTCTGACTCTTTGCAACCCCATGGACTGTAGCCTGCCAGGCTCTTCTGTCCATGGGATTTGTCAGGCAAGAATACTGGAGTGGGTTGCCATCTTCAGTTAAGAGATGATGAGACTTTATTTTCTTTAAAAAAAAATCCTGTGAATGCTTATATATATATATATGTACTGTGTGTGTGTGTGTGTGTGTGTGAATATATATGGTGTAAACAAAAAAAACCTCTAAGGGTTTCTTTCTTTAATATAAAAGAAGCCCAGAGTTAGGTGGTCCAGGGCTAGTATCTCAGTTATCAGACACCAGAACACCTTCTGTTAATAGCTTTTTGGGCCACGGCTCCCACCTTCTGAGGTGCCTCATGGGGATTTCAAAGTCTAAGTTGATTGACAGAGTTTAAGCCATCATATCTGTATTCCAGGTAAGAAGGAGGAGGAAGATGACAGAGCAAAAAATATTTGAGCACCTCTGGGCTAAGCAGTGGAATTCAGCCAAGATCTAAATACTTTGTCCCTATCCTCCTGGAGTCTTACGGTGGTGGTAGGATTCAGACATTATAAACATCCCTGCACCTAAGTATATAATTACTAATTTGGATTAATACTATGGAAGTAAATAACTGAATTGTTTGAGAGAATGGAGGGGAGCCTAATTTAGATGTGAGGGCAAGGTGAGAGGGGGTTTCTTGTTTTTAGCAGCCTCTGAACTGCAGGTACCTCTGAGTTCCTCACCAGCCATTTTTGAATACTGAATGGAGGATAGCAATCTTCATGGTCATCATTCATAAATATCCTTGATGCTTCTGCTTAAGATGTCTGGGAATAAGTTGCGGTTATTCTTATTTCAAGCCCAGCTGAGGAGAAGCATATTATTTGCAGCCAGGATGGGAATATGAACAGAAAGAAATCTCCAGGGGTAAGTTTAATGTTGTGGCCAAACCTTCCTGATCTTCATCTGTAAGGGTTTATCTTTGTTTTCCCCCTTCTCCCATTTTCTCTTTAAATGAACAACATCTGCAAAAGAAAACCCATCTTAAGGAAGGAGTATAATTACCAAACCATTTTCTGTGCAGAGAAATGAAGAACTAGGTCTTTTCCCTACCTCCTCCCTGTAAAAGAACACCTTGAAGAGATGTTAGGAGCAACTACTGGGCATTCATAGGGAATTTTAGGTTGATTAGAAACAAATTTTCAGTGTGATGAAAGTGAAAAGTGAAAGTGAAGTCGCTCAGTCATGTCCGACTCTTTGCAGCCCCATGGACTGTAGCCCACCAGGCTCCTCTGTCCATGGGATTTTCTAGGCAAGAATACTGGAGTGGGTTGCCATTTCCTTCTCCAGGGGATCTTCCCAACCCAGGGATCAAACTCAGGTCTCCTGCGCTGCAGGCAGATGCTTTAACCTCTGTGCCACCAGGGAAGCCCTGGTGTGATGGGAATAGAATTTCAACAGACTGGAAGTTACAGTGGACCTGTGCTGCTTTTTTTTTTTGGCGATTGGTTGGTTTAGTCACTAAATCGTGTCTGACTCTTTGTGACCTCATGGAAAGCTTGCTGGGCTCCTCTGCCCATGGGATTTCCCAGGCAAGAATACTGGAGTGGGTTGCCATTTCCTTCTCCAGGGACCTGTGCTTCTAATGCTGCTTCTACCAATTATTGGGTAAATGTAGCCTTGGATAAGTCACAAAGCTGGAAGGCTGCTACATCCAGGAGAATAGTATCTTGGCCCATTTTGTTCATTGCTGAATTCCTAGCCCCAGCCCTCTGCCTGGCACATGGTTGGCCAATAAATATTTGTTCGGAGCCTTTTGGGGGGGGGGGGAATGAAACAAATCCATCAATTCCTGTGTGATCTGATTTCAACAATATGGTTGAAGAACCAGATTGGTGAAGATGTGGCAGGTTGTGGTATAGAGGGGGCGAGGACGCTGGAGTAGGTCTGGAAACAAGGAGTTTCCCACGCCAGGGTTGTGTCAGGAGGCTAGAGTGGTGGTGGGACAATGTGGCATTGAAGAGAGTGCTACAGGGAGTTCTTTCCATGGTTTTTTCTTCCAGAAACACAAGTTGGAACTTCCAGGGATAATTGTACCGCCTCCCACCCCAGGACACTTGTATGAGCAACTAAGTTCAGAATCCTTACCTTTATGGAAGCAGTTTGACATGTTGCCTCAGGATCTGCTGAAGGAGTGAGTGTCCTGTAAGCTGTGGGAGAACCAGAGCATCCTCTTTTCTCTAAAAGCTAAGAAAGGTCTAAGCAGTGTGCTCTTTCTGGGGAGGGAGGGGAGAAAACCATTCCCATACTTGGTCCCTGAATTTGTGGACTTACACATATGCAGTGATGATGATAGTCACCACCATTTAAGTACTTACCACCTGCCAGGCCCTGTGCTTAATAATTAGCACACTACCTATATTCTCTCATTTCAACCTTGACTGGGAGGTAGACGCACTGTTCTTTTTATAGGTGAGTTATGGATTAAGTGGAAGACGGAATGAATATGTGGTTTGGAGCAAGACCACCTTTGAATTTTGTATTGAAATTCATTGCCTTCGTGAATTTCCGCCATTTATTTAGCCTCATTAATTGTCCTTTTCCTCATTGCAAAATGAAGATCACAGACTTGTCCTTGGGGTGTGGTAAGGATTCAGTGGTGTAAAGCACATGAGCCCGACATATAGTAAACTTAATCCACTCAGCCATGATTGCCATAGTTGCATCTGAAAGCTGTTACCGAATGAGCACCTGTTGGTATCGGCCTTATAAGGGCAAGGTGGACATGTCTGCAAATGTAGAGCTATTGCTGACTGTCTCTGTGTCTGTCCCCTTCAGCCTCTTGCTGGATAAAGGGAAGACCATACTTTATCCAGAAATGCAGACACAGTTGGCCATGATGAAAAAGAAACCTCCCCTGGAAAAGAGCCGGCCTGACAGTGCCATTTCTGCTAAGATGTATTTATCTGTACACCGCCTCACCCTACAAGTAAGAGCTAGGGACCCTCAGCGGAAGATGTCTGTGTGCAAGTCCAAACTCACCTGTCCTCAAGGCTGGAGGACTTAACTTTCTAATTGCTTTCTCTTCTATTCTTCCACTCTGGATCCAGGTGCCACAGAAGGACTGGGCTTTGTGGGTGAAAGCGGATGTGCAGGGAGAGGTTGGAGGGGAGCAGCATTCTCTACTTCTTCTGCACTTGGCTTCCCACACCTTTCCCCTCTCCCGAGCCCCTGCTATAATCTTGCACACACTGGGCTTCTCAAAAAAGTACTCGTTGACTCGATGGATAAAGGCATTTGGGGATACATTTTGGGAAAGAGAAAGACCTACAGTAGAACTTTTTTTCTTTTCTCTTCTTTTTTTGCTCTAGAAACCAGCATTGAGATATCCTGAACATTTGAAGAAACGCTATTCTAACCTGAAAATAGATGGTAGGTTTTCTGATGCTGGTCGGTCTCCAGGTGCCAGCTCCCCTCTGCCCTACAGAGGGCAGTTGATCTTGGGACCAACGCAGTGGTGTTTGCAGCCACAGTCATACGGGGTCCCATGTAGACCTTAGGAGACTGCAGTTTCAAAAAGCACCCCCTCCCAGCTTGGTCCTGACCAGCGGGGAGAGAGCGTCACCCCTGGGTGGCAGGGCACGGCAGGCGGCCCAGGCGGAGGGTGGGAGCTGTCAGGGAGAAGAGGGCTGAGCTGGCTGTCTGGTCACCAGGTCACAGGAAGCAGCAGCGGCAGCAACAGAGGAGGGTGAAGACAGCCACTAGGAAACAGGTAGAGTGACAGCGAAGGGATGCTTGGGACCTGCTGGGGTTGGAGCAAGTGGGTGCAGCCTGGAACAGGAAGGGGTGTGCGAGGGATGGGGTTCTCCCTGTCTGCTGGCTGTAGATACAGAGTTCCTGTGTGGTTATGCTAACAACCTTCTTTTCAGACCTTTTGGAAAAGATTTCTTCACTTTCGAAAGTCCTAATTCACTTCCTCCTCATGTGGGTTTCAGGAGGCTAGAAAGAGATGCAGGAATGAACCAGGGAGACACAACAGCTCGCACAGACGTTCAGGTGCCGTGGTTGGCGCCCCACGCCATGGTAAGGAGAGTGTGTGGGTTTGGGAGTGGCAGAATCCCAGGACCTAGCGGAGGACGGGAAAAGCTGAACGCGTTTGGCATTTGTGGACCCATGATTGTCAGGCACTTGAATTCTCCTTGGAATGCTTCTGTTTGGCTGGTCTACCGTGTATCAGCCTTCCATCAAATATTTACTCAGCAAGGGAGCTGGGCCAGATGTCTGCTTCACATGGGGATTTGAGAGATGGCCATGAGCATGAGTCAGAGTCACTTACTCCTCAGGTCCTACTTTATTCAGAAGCGTGTTATTTAGCCTCCATATGTTTGAATTTTTAACAATTTTTTCCCTGTAATTGAGATCTAATCTTACCGCACTGTGGTCAGAAAAGATGACTGGAATGATTTCAATTTTTTTGAATTTACCAAGACTAGATTTATGGCCCAGGATGTGATCTATTCTGGAGAAGGTTCCGTGTGCACTTGAGAAAAAGGTGAAGTTGACTGTGTTGGGGTGAAACGTCCTATAGATATCAATTAGGTCTAGCTGGTCCATTGTGTCCTTTAAAGTTTGTGCTTCCTTGTTCATTTTCTGTTTAGTTGATCTATCCATAGTTGTGAGTGGGGTATTAAAGTCTCCCACTATTATTGTGTTGCTATTAATTTCCTCTTTCATACTTGTTAGCGTTTGCCTTACATATTGTGGTGCTCCTATATTGGGTGCATATATATTTATAATTGTTATATCTTCTTCTTGGATTGATCCTTTGATCATTATGTAGTGTCCTTCTTTGTCTCTTTTCACAGCCTTTATTTGAAAGTCTATTTTATCTGATATGAGTATTGTGACTCCTGCTCTCTTTTGGTCTCTGTTTGCATGAAATATTTTTTTCCAGCCCTTCACTTTTAGTCTGTATGTGTCTCTTGTTTTGAGATGGGTCTCTTGTAGACGGCATATATAGGGGTCTTGTTTTTGTATCCATTCAGCCAGTCTTTGTCTTTTGGTTGGGGCATTCAACCCATTTACATTTAAGGTAATTATTGATAGGTATGGTCCCGTTGCCATTTACTTTGTTGTTTTGGGTTCATGTTTATACCACCTTTCTGTGTTTCCTGTCTAGAGAAGATCCTTTAGCATTTGTTGAAGAGCTGGTTTGGTGGTGCTGAATTCTCTTAGCTTTTGCTTGTCTGTAAAGCTTTTGGATTCTCCTTCATATCTGAATGAGATCCTTGCTGGGTACAGTAATCTAGGTTGTAAGTTATTCTCTTTCATTACTTTAAGTATGTCCTGCCATTCCCTTCTGGCCTGGAGGGTTTCTATTGATAGATCAGCTGTTATCCTTATGGGAATCCCTTTGTGTGTTATTTGTTGTTTCTCCCTTGCCGCTTTTAATATTTGTTCTTTGTGTTTGATCTTTGTTAATTTGATTAATATGTGTCGGGGTGTTTCACCTTGGGTTTATCCTGTTTGGGACTCTCTGGGCTTCTTGGACTTGGGTGGCTATTTCCTTCCCCATTTTAGGGAAGTTTTCAGCTATTATCTCCTTGAGTATTTTCTCATGCCCTTTCTTTTTGTCTTCTTCTTCTGGGACTCCTATGATTCGAATGTTGGGGCATTTCACATTGTCCCAGATGTCCCTGAGGTTGTCCTCATTTCTTTTGATTCTTTTTTCTTTTTTCCTCTCTGCTTCATTTATTTCCATCATTTTATCTTCTACCTCACTTATCCTATTTTCTCCGTTATTCTACTCTTGGTTCCCTCCAGAGTGTTTTTGATCTCATTTATTGCATTATTCATTTTTAATTGACTCTTTTTTATTTCTTCTAGGTCTTTATTAAACATTTCTTGCATCTTCTCAATCTTTGTCTCCAGGCTATTTATCTGTAACTCCATTTTGTTTTCAAGATTTTGGATCATTTTTATTATCATTATTCTAAATTCTTTTTCAGGTAGATTCCCTATCTTTTCCTCTTTTGTTTGACTTGGTGGGCATTTTTCTTTTTTTTTTTTTTTGGTGGGCATTTTTCATGTTCCTTTACCTGTTGGGTATTTCTCTGCCTTTTCATCTTGTTTAGATTGCTGTGTCTGGAGTGGGATTTCTGTATTCTGGAGGTCTGAGGTTCCTTTTTATTGTGGAGGTTTCACCCAGTGGGTGGGGTTGGACGATTGGCTTGTCAAGGTTTCCTGGTTAGGGAAGCTTGCATAGGTGTTCTGATGCATGGAACTGGATTTCTTCTCTCTGGAGTGCAATGGAGTGCCCAGTAATGAGTTTTGAGATGGGTCTGTGTGTTAGGTGTGACTATGGCAGCCTGTAAGTTGACGCTCAGGGCTATGTTCCTGCGTTGCTGGAGAATTTGTGTGATATGTCTTGCTCTGAAACTTACTGGCTCTTGGGTGGTGGTTGGTTTCAGTGTAGGTATGGAGGCTTTTGAATGGTCTCTTATTACTTAATGTTCCATGTAGTCAGGAGTTTTCTGGTGTTCTCAGGTTTTGGGCTTAACTGCCTCTGGATTTCAGTTTTATTCTTCCAGTAGTCTCAAGACTTCTCCAACTATACAGCACTGATAATAAAACTTCTAGGTTAATGGTGAAAAGATTCTCCACCGTGAGGGACACCCAGAGAGGTTCACAGAGTTACATGAAGAAGAGGAGAGGAAGGAGGGAGATATAGATGAGCAGGAGGAGAAAAAGGGGGACTCAAGAGGAGAGAGACAGATTTACGCAGTTGTCTGTTCCCAAAGTGTTTTCCGTAGCCCAGACACCCACAGAGATTCACAGAATTGGATTGGGAAGAGAAGGGGAAAGGAGGAAATAGAGGTGTTCTGAGGTAGAAAACAGAGAGTCAAAAGTGGGAGAGAGTAATCAACACCCTCCTGAGTAAAAACGGGAACTGAATATTGGATTCTTAAATGTCCAAAATTTATATCACATACTGAAAAACAAAGATTAAAAATTTAGAGTAGAGGTTAGACTCTTAAAAATACAATGTTAAAAACAAAAACACAAAAAATTTTAGAAATATATATGGAGTTTGGTTTAAAAATAGGGCTTCTCTCTCTTTTTTTTTTTGCAAGGTTATAGTGAAATGAAAATGAAACTTAAGGAGTAGTAGAGGAGTAATAGAGGATTTTATTTATTTATTTATTTTAAATAGAGGACTTTAAAAGAAAAAAACAAGAAAAAAAATTTTTTTCCTAATTAAAAAGATCGTAAAAATATATGAAAATGAAAGTTAAGGAGTAATGGGGGAGTAATAGGGAATTTTCAAAGAAAATAAAAGAGAAAAAATAAGAAAAGAAAAGAAAAAAAATTTTTTAATTAAAAAAAAGTAAAAATATATCTAGGAATTTCTCTGGAGCTGTTGCAGTCAGTGTGGGTTCGGTTCAGTTTCAGATAGCTCCTCGTTCCAGCTTACATTTCTCGATATCTACAGGCCCCTTCCGGTGTAGTCAGTGTTACCTACAGGGATTTTAATCTGTTGCACCGGTCCCTTCTGAAGCGGTTCCCTTTGTTTATTTGGCTTCTGTTTGCCGGTCTCTTCAGTGTCTAATTTCCGCCCTGACACAGGCGGGCGGAGGTGGTCTCTTGTTCTGGTTCGCTAGTTCCATCGCGCTGCAGGGAGGTGGGCGGGGGGCGCTGCTTTCCCGTGTACGCTGCTCAGGCTCCCGGCTGCTCTATATGGAGCGGGCCCTGCGTTGCGTGCGGTTCCAGTTTTCGGGTGTTCCACAAAAGCGTGGACTTGGTTGCGCCTGCGTTTTGTGCCTTCCCCACCCGAGCAGCTCAGGCAGCCAGGAGCTTGACGGGCGCACTCTCCCGGGTGTGGTGCGCCTTCTGCCCTCCACGTCCCCAGCCCCAGTCCCCACCCTCGCTGCTCGGGTGCGTGCGCCCTGTGTCTCGCTGCGACCCTCCTGGCGGATGTCGACCATCCAGAATCTCAGGAAGTCTTTGGTTAGAAACTGGAGGCCTGGTTGCAGTGTGGTAGGGGATGCCGTCTTTGGGGCCGAGTTTGCCCCTTTCCCCTCCCCCTGCCTCCTGGGCTGGTCCACAGCCAGCTAGCTCCTCTGGACTTGCTCAGATCCTTTGATCTGTGAACGGCCGGCAGTGTGTTTGGGCCGTTTAATTTTCTCTCTCTTTTGCTGTGCCACAGTTTAAGTTGGTATCTCACAAAAGCTCCCTCCGATTGCCCTCAGGGCACTCAGGCCCGGTCCTTACCCTAAACAATGCCGCCCGCTCCTCTTCGTTCCACCCCGCTTGTTGCTGGCGGATGCGGGCGTCTGGGGTACTTTTCTGATGGGAGTTGCTTTTAGGCACGTAATCTGTGGGGTTTATTTATTTATTTTCCTCCCAGTTAGGTTGCCCTCCGAGATTCGAAAACTTCCCCCAGACCCACCAGTGTGAGGGTTTCCTGGTGTTTGGAAACTTCCTCTATTTAGACTCCCTTCCTGGGATGGTTCTCCATCCCTAGTTCTTTTGTCTCTCTTTTTATCTCTTATATTTTGTCCTACCTCCTTTCGAAGACAATGGGCTGCTTTTCTGGGCGCCTGATGTCCTCAGCTAGCAATCAGAAGTTTTCTGGGCGCCTGATGTCCTCAGCTAGCAATCAGAAGTTGTTTTGTGAAGTTTGCTCTGCGTTGAATTATTCTTTCGATGAATTTGTAGGGGAGAAAGTGGTCTCGCCGTCCTATTCCTCCGCCATCTTGGCTCCTCCCCCCTCAGGTCCTACTTTAGAAAAGGCAGTGGTTTGGGGATGAAGAGCTAGCCTGGGTTATTGAGGAGAAGAGCCCCAAGAACCCACTGGCCTGTGAGACAGGGAAGAGCCGGGGCCCCTCACCAGAGCCCCAGGAGAGTTCTAAGGAAGCAGAGTCAGCCACTTCTCAGCCACAGGTTACCTTTCACAGTCCAGCCCCATCCAGGAGGCAGGGGGCTAGTTCCTGACCGGCGATCCCTTTCCTCTAGTGTTCATGCCAGAGATAGGAGACTCCCCCTTTTGGAGTTCTTATCATGTCTGAGCTGAAGGTCATACTTACCTCGGCCCCTCTGATATTTCTCAGTTTGAGTGTAGAATGAGAAGCAAGGAGAAAGAATCCCCCTAAACTGTGGCAGATTCTTCTGCCCTAAATAGACCAGACATTGCTGTCTGTGATGGGGAAATAACTGTTTAGTCATCAGAATTCACCCTCCAACCCTGGGGCACCCGGAAGGTGAGGCTGAGGTGTTTCCTGATAAGGATGCTTTTCTTGGTTTATCTCTCAACTCACCCTGCTCTTTGATACTAAAAGTGTCTTCTAAACTGGAGATCGAAGAAGCCTCCTGAACCTTCACATGGGAGGCAGACAGCACTGGGACTGTGGCCCAGCACGGAGACACTTGTTTAAGGTTAGCCCTGTATTCAGGGTGATGACAACTCCCCTGAGTTTTATTCTGGTGCCTTCTGTTCCTCTTCCTGGTGCCTCCAGTAGGAGCAGCTTTGCTTGGGTGACTGGGGCTCCCTTTTGAATTATATTCTTAGAGCAGTGGCTTGTCCTCTCTGAGTTGAGAAAGGCTTCATGGAAGAGGTGATTTTTGCACTGGATCATGGATATGTGTGAGAGTTTCCCCAATATGGAAGAGAATTCCTGGAAGCAGGGATGGGCTGGGTGAACGTGTCTTGGAGGAGCATGGCTGCAGGGAGCCCTGAGCAGTCTGCTGTGGTCGTGGGGTTGGGTATTTAAGCAACAGAGGTAGATCAGGCCAACGAGATGGCCTGCTGAGATGTTTGATCTTTATCCTCAGTGGTGGGCATTGGTGATCTGCCTTGATGGCACCCTGCGATCGACTGAGGAGCTTTCAAAACCCTAACATCCACCCTGCACCCCAGATCTATTAAAATCAGAGTGTTTGGTGTTGGGTCCAGGCCTGGGTGGTTTTCAGAATGCCCCAGCGTGTGACTAAGGTGTGAACCAGTGCTGACAGGGAGCCAGCACAAGTGTGGAGCAAGGACTTCCTTGTTTGGCGGTCCCTTTTAGCCTTGTACCGCTGGTGGTAGCTTGGAAGACTGCTCATTTAAAGGAAGAGAAATGGAAGGGAAAGAACTAGTGCATTTCGTGACTAGTTGGGGGAAAGATCTGATACAAAAGAGTCATAGATCTAGAATTTTGGGGGTGGGAGGATGTTCATTTTCATAAGTCAATAGAGGTAACTTAGGGGTGGCCCAAGAAAGTAAGAACAGGATTCATAAACTTAAAAGATAGACCTAGGGGTTCTTTTGCTACACTGACATACAGGTGCTTGCCCCTTAGGTTTCTTTGAGGAATCCTGGAGCTTTTAACACACAGGCTCCCTTACTCACTAATTCTATAATAGATGTGGTCACGGTCCCAGGCGAACAGAATCACGAATAGAACTTAAGAGGGCCTCACTCCCTTTTACCTGCCTCTAAGGTCCTGTATTGTCCTGGCTGGGGAGTCACCTGTAGACTGGGGTCAACTAGAAGCCCAGCAATGGGATGTGGAATACCAGTAGGAGACTTGACTTGATCTTGTGGTCACTAGGTCGCAAAACTCTACGAGGTCAGGAAAGTGACAGAAAGCAGCAGCAGCAGCAGCCGATGAAGACAGAAGGCCCCACCCTGAAACAGGTGAGGGCCATTCGGCTAGGGCCCTGTCTCAATTGTCTATGGCGTGCATGCTAAGACACTTCGGTCGTGTCCGACTCTGTGACACCATGGACTGTAGCCTGCCAGGCTCCTCTGTCCATGGGGATTCTCCAGGCAAGAATACTAGAGTGGGTTGCCATGCCTTGCTCCAGGGGATCTTCCTGACCCAGACAGGGATTGAATCCATGTCTCTTAGGTCTCTTGCATTGGCAGGCAGGTTCTTTACCACTAGTGCCACCTGGGAAGCCCTTAGTTGTCTATTTTTGTATAATAAACCACTGCAAAGCGGAACCATAGTGGTTTGTTATTTCTCATGATTCTGTGGGTTAATTGGATAGTTTTCTGGTCTTGCCTCAGGTCACTCATGCAGCTGCATTCAGCTGGAGGCTGGGCTGGGGCTCTTGGCCAAACTGTCTCTAGTTTTCTTTTATGAGGCCTCTCCATCTGTCTGGTCTGGGCTTCTTGACAACCAAGAAGTAATCTCAGGAAGGTACTTCCCTAGGGAAGGTACATCCCTAGGGATGGGCCTGGAACTGGAACCGTGTCACTTCTGCCACATTGTATTTGTTAAAAAAAAATTGCAAGTCCAGTTCAGATTGGAAAGGAGAGGAAATTGACTCTGTCTCATGATGGTAAGAACAGCATGTGCTTATAGGAATGGGAAGAATTGCTGGCAGCTACCCAGGTTTGATCCCTGGGTTGGGAAGATCCCCTGGAGGAGGGAATGGCTACCCACTCTAGTATTCCTACCTAGAGAATCCTATGGACAGAGAAGCCTGGCGGGTTAGTCCATGGGGTTGCAAACAGTTGGACATGACTGAGTGACTAACACATACACATGCCTTTGGAGGCAGTTTACCCTTAGTTAACTGCGGGGACCGGGGAAAACTGCTTTCTGGCTTCACGTGGGCAGCCTGCAGGGCCAAAGAGCCCGTGACACAGCCTTCTCTCTTCAGTGTCAGATGGTGGCATTTTGTCCTGTCTTAGACGTTAATTTCTCCAAGGAAAGCATCATTTAGAAAAGCCCTTTGTTTCCTAAATCCTGACTCAAGTTTCTTTACACTTACGAATTTCAGGATTCCACAGAGAGATCACAGACAAACGTCGCTAAGGAATCGCTGGACTCCTCCCGCAGTAAGAAGCATAAGACCCTAGGGTGGAGGAACCTTAGAAAGTGTCTGAGGACAGGGGGAGCAGAACCTTGTTGATCAGGATGGTTCACTTCCCTGGAGGGCACAGCCCTCACCCCTCAGAAGAGTCCTTCCTTTTCTGTCTTCCATTTTTCATAGTTAATTGGGAGAAGGCTACAGGTGCAGTTGATGGCTGGGTCTTTTTTTTAGGTCCCGAATTACCCCAAATAGAATACAATAAGAAGGACATCAGGACTCAGATGGAGATTTTGCTGGAAGACCAAGTGAAGACCCCAGAGAGCGCTTCTGGCATCAGCTGGAACCCTGAGCTCAAACTGCTGAGGATTCTTCAGGCCACAGATGAAGAGGACGAGGAGATCCATCCCTCCGGGGCGCAGAGTGAAGTGTCCGAGGTGTAGGCGGAAGGATGCTTGGGCTCCCAGGCACAGCGACCTTGGACGTGAGGGCAGGAAGGAGAGGGGACTTGGACTCCCTGGAGCCTTTACCAGGGTCTGACCTTAGGGATTCTGTTTTCTTCATTCGCTTCTACTTGCTTCTGAAATAAGTGAGAGAGAGAAAAAGCCCTTTCTAGCTTGGATTGTTTCTCTCCCTTTAGGGCCCAGGGTAATTTTAGTGATTAAAAACACAGCCACTGCTTATCAATAGACTTGTTTCTCTGTTTCTGGATCACTTTTATCTCCTCGCTGGAACGCTGGAAGGTTTCTAGTTATAGGAAGATGAATTTGGCCTGTGGAAACCCCTAACGTGTTGCTTTTCCTGGAAATGGTTTATCTTGAGGATAACATCTGCATCTGTCAAATAACATTCACTGTTACGTGTCGTATTCCTGTGTATGTGGTAGGGGACTCGGATTGACATAAAAGAGTCCAAGGATCCAGTTCCCGAGTTACTGAGTCTGTAGGAAAATTTCAGTGATGCTCGTGAAGACTCAAAATTTCAGAGTCTCGGGGTCCCTTGTGCTTGGTTTTTGCAAGGATTTTTTTTACAATGTTTTCATCCTTAAACTTTTTTAATACAGAAAAATTTCAAAATTACGTAAAAGAAATTTGTAAAATTATCGAAACTCTCAGGGACCCAGAATCTTAGGTTTGAGTTATAAAAGCCTGGGCCCCACGCCCCATGAGTTGAGGAAAGAGCCGGTGGAGCCCCAGTGTTCTCAGCAGTTCTGTACCCGAGTTCAAGCTTCCATAATTAGGGGCTGGATGGAAGAAGAGAGATTCGATCTAGAGGCTGTACTCACCAGAGCGCAGTCTCTGCAACAGGTAGGTAGGGGCAGGATGAGAAAGGATGACATTCTGTTCTTCCTGGAAAGCAGCCCTCGGACGTGGAACGAGGGAGAGAGGGAGCCCTGTGTCCTTGGGCTGCGGCAGTCTGGAGGAGAGTCACCTCACTGAAGTGGGGCCAAAGGAGTGGGTGGGGAAAGGCTCTTCCCTTCCCGTACCATAGACTCTTGCAGTTCTCACTGAGGTTTGGTAGGTTTTCTTGAACAACTGTTTCTTCATTTGTTGTATGCTAGTACAGCCGTTTCCGGAGACTCCAACAAATCAAAATAATTTTCATTAGTTTCACTGGACAGCTGTTTGTGGAGCCCCTTGTACTGTGAGGCCAGAAGTGGAACTCTAAACTGGGCCTGAGAAATTTTTTTATAAAGAGAAACTTACCCCTCATCAATTATTTGGTTACCCCAAAGACAGTTTGCCCAAGAAAGGCAGATTAAATATTCGACTCCTTTTTTAACATTGTCTCAAAACAGACTAAATTAGAAAGCTGAAACTGCTGCCTATCCATTCTTCATCTTTTTCGAGACAATGCAAAATTATATGACCTCATTTGTGTTACTAGACTGAACTATTCTTAGCTGAATCTTCACAGTAAGAAGCAGCCAAGAGGCATTATGTGGGCTGTTTTTCTGAAATTTTTTCCCTCAAATATACGTTGCGTTGCAGAATGACTTCTGTGGGCTAACTTAAAAATTCATAAATCTTGCCACTTCTCCTTAGCCTACCTTCAGAAGTGTCTTCCCAAGAAAACCCAGTTTCCAGTGGTCAGTAGCGGGCTTGAGGTTGCACAAGGCTTAGCTTTAAATCACTCATTTTGTCTGAAGAGTCAGAGAAGGTCTAACTTTCAAAACAAATTCAGCTACTTTGCTTACTTAGTAAAGCAACTCCCACATTAAGGTCCCAATGATTAGTACAAAGTTACCTTTTACATTGTGATATTTTGAGTGAGAAAATAATTGTTATCTGATTACTGGCCTTTGCTTCTCTTTTCAAAGAGAGAAAAAAAATTATTGTAGGCTGAAACTTATTTCATCTTTGTTATGCCAATCCCTCAAATTTGGATAATCACAAAATGAATATAGAGAAGTATAGCCTACGGAGCCACATTACAGTTTTCAAGATGCTTCATATCCACTATTTTGATTGGTTCTCTGGCCAACTCTATAGATAGGTGAAGATTGTCTCTGTTTTGTGGTATAGGAAACTGAAGCTCAGAATACAGGGCTGATGCTAGACCATTTGGGGGCCTTTGGGTGAATTAGAGAAAGGGACCCTTCAAGACACTTTACAGCTATTTGCTAAAAAGTTATTTCAGCGAATGAACAAATCTACAGTGATCAGCATTTGTGCAACACCCCTAGAGCTGGCCCACCACCTGCACAGCAGTACCTGCTGGCCTTGCTGGCGAGCTTAAGAAATTTGCCAGACATCCAAGGCTGGCAGGTGAAGGGGGTTGGGCTTAGAACCCAAGTCCTTGCTCTTCACTCCACTGTGTTCTGATGCCTCTCTGGTTCCCTCTCTTTATGCACAGACGACAATCTTAATCAGACAGGAAGGATGAGGCCATGTAGAAAAGAACTGACAGATGGCAAGGAGCCCTCTCGAAGCCTTTGCTTCAGCCTCTCCATGTTCTGAGAGAGGAGGAGCCAGGTAACTGCTGCTAACTGCCATTTTCCTACCATCTGGGCCACAAGCATCAGGAGAATCAAGGCCTAACAGCCAGGAGGCTCCCCAGGATCAGTTGGAGATCCACTTTTATGTACTTAAGTAGGCCTCCCTGGTAGCTCAGATGGTAAAGAATCTGCCTGCAGTGCGGGAGACCTGGGTTTGATCCCTGGGTTGGGAAGATCCCCTGGAGGAGGGAAAGGCTACCCACTCCAGTTTTCTGGCCTGGAGAATTCCATGGACTGTATAGTCCATGAGGCTGCAGAGTCGGACTGAGCAACTTTCTTTCACTTCAGACTAGAGGACCTGAGCCTTGGCCTGTTAGACTATTGTCCTGGAGCTTTGAGTTCCTAAGAAACTAGATTCTGATTTCTTTTGTTCTTTTGTACTTTCTTTGTGATCTCTAGTAAGGATAGTCCACTTTGAGTCACCTTAGTTTTCAGAGCATACCTTCCAGTGACCCCGGCTCAGCCTGACCTGTGTGTAGAAAGAGAGTCAGTGAAAGCATCTTCGGACATCTCTGCCCATGCTCTCCTCCTTGTAGAACCGTCTTTTGTTTTGCTATTGGTCCTGACATCTGGGGTAACAGACTGTGTTCTTCATTGATTTTGGATTATAGATCGCTTCCTTTGGAGTCAAGGTTTCATTCATGGTGGCAGTGACCCTTAAAATATCAGTTTATTCAAGTGCACCTAAAGGAATTGTTTGCTGAGTTAAGGACAGAAATGCATCTGGCTTTTAGATAGAAATGTTCAGAGGTACTTTGGAATCCAGAAGAATCTGGGGGAAAAAAATGTAAATTTTCAATTGCCATAAGGTACCAAGGTACGAAATTCATTTGCTCTCCTGTTTATATATTTAATTAAAAATATTAAGAACTTATTATATGTTAGAGAATCAACCCCTTTATTATCCTGATAGAGAAAGGAAATGTTCTAGAGACTTGGAGAGTCCTTCTCAGGAATACAGCTAGAAATTTTACTGGATCAAATTGTAAAGTTGTTTTTGACCACTAGGTGGCGATATCTCCTTATGAAAATGATACTCCTCTGCGGACTGGAGGCCTCCAGTTATTTCTGAGACCGCATGTATACAGTCAAAGAGACTTCTTTGTGAATAAATGGGGGAAAAGCCATATTTTATCCTTTACATAGTGATCTGGTTGAAACGCTCAAGGGGACTGGAAACTCCAGGAGGGATGGGACTGTGTCTGTTGTCATGCTTATAGCCCTAGCTTATAGTTCATGTAGTAGGCACTCAATAAATAAATAAAGCTTTTGAACCATTTAGATTGTCATTGGAAGAACCATTTCAAGAGTGTGGAAAATCCTGGAACATGCACAGAGGCCTAGGATTTGGAGAAGCTGGGGGCTATTGATGATCCTGATGGGTTATCAGTTGGGCAGAGACTCAGGGAGGCAGCATTGAGGAGGTAGAAACATCAAAAGTGATCTGAGGCTCTTCTAATTGCTTTGTGTTTCCTAAGTTTCTCTTGATGAGAAAAAGAATTTCTCCCTTTTTAATATAGGGAGGTAGTAAACCAAGAAATTCAAATTTTTTCTTGCTTCTATATTACTTCTAGTGATGGCTCTGTCTTGAAAAGGATCTCCAAAAGTAATGTCCTCTTATCTGCCTGTCACTCATTGGTAAATCGTTTATTCAGTAATTTATTTATTGTTCATTCATTCAGGCCACAAATTGTCACTGGGCAGCTCTGATGTACAGAGCCCTGGTCTAGGCTGTGCGAGCATCTCTGACCTTCTCCTTTCATGGCTCCTTTGAGTTCAGCTAATCACTCAATCCTACCAGCTGTAGCATCCACATCTACACTCCTCTTGGTTCCTTCTGCTCTTACCCTAGCCCTGGCCTGCATCTTCTTTCATCTGGGTCACTGCATCGATCCCTAATCTTTCCCACTCCCATCGATTTTCCCGTCTGTCCAGTGCGCAGATATGGTTGTGTTACTCCTTTGCTGAAAACTCTCCCTTGCCCTCAGGGTCAAATCCAACCTCTTTTGCCTTACAAAATAGGCTGTGACCTGGCTACACCCTACTTGTCTCCCTCAGTCCCAACTTCTCCTGACTTTAATATTTTATTTGTTTATTTTTGGCTGTGATGGGTCTTACTTGCGGCACGCAGGCTTCTCTCTAGCTGTAGCCTGACAGCTTGGAAGTCTTAGCACATGGGCTCTGCAGTGGAGGCATGAGGGCTTCTCTAGTTGTGGTGCATCGACTTATTTGCCCTGTGGCATGTGGGACCTTAGTTCCCTGACCAGGGATAGAACCAGCGTCCCCTGAATTAGAAGGCGGATTCCTAACCACTGGACCACCAGGGAATTCCCTGCCCTGGACTTTAACCTTGTTCTGTGTGCTCTAGCCATGATTTTTTCTTTCGGTTCTTTTAATAACCCCTGTCCGCTCTTACCTTCAGACTTTTTCTCCCACCATACTTTTCCTTCAGCCTATGAAATTCTTTCCTTCTTCCTTCTGCCTGGCGACTTTCTCCTCTTTCTTCAGATCTCAGCTTGTGTTGTTCTTTGGGGGAGCTTTTTCTGGTCACTGTCATGGTGAGGTCCCACTCTTCCTCTTTTCCTCTCGTAGCCTCTGTGAGGTTCACAGCCTGTCCATTGTCACCCTCCACTGCCAGATGATCAGTTCTGTGACTGGCATCTGTCTTCACCACGTACCTTTAGTACCTGATTGAATGCCTGGCACATTGTAAGTGCTCAGTAATATATGCTGAATGAATGAATGAGTAAAAAAACCATGGTGACATATCTCCTTTCTTTGGGGGTACATATAATGTAGCAATGTGAGCTGAGCAGTACAAAGAAGGAGCTATAGTGGTAAGAAGGAAGGGGTACCTTGGGTGCTGCCATCTGAGGCTGAGTCAAGTTTTGGTAAATGGAGATGTTTGTGGAGGTGGCCTTTAAGTGAAGGGAAGTGAGAAAAGTTTGGAGGGCAGGCAAGGAAAGAAGTGTTCCTGTCTGGGAGGAGTGGGAAGTAGGACTGGAGATAGCTTGTGCCCAGACAGTTCAGCCTGGAGAGAGTGGACTCTAGCTGACGGCACTGCTGGCTTTTGAACAGAGGAGCAATAAGACTAAATTAGGGCTTTAGATCTAACATTTTAAAATTCTAAAGTTTAGAAATGGTTAATATAATGGCAGTGAAACATGAATTAGAGAGAGACCAGCGAGACCTGTGAGGAGGCTGTTATAGAAGTCAGGATGCAAGGTGACCAGGGCCTGGATCATGTAGGAGGCAAAAAGAAGGGAGACAAAGGGATATTGTGCGGAGGAAGGATTAAGAAGAAGCTGGAAAGTGGAAAGAAAAGAATGAGGTAGAGGGAAGAGTCAAAGAATTTTCAGCCTGATTCAGTGAGGCACTGTCATTATTAGAAATTGTGAAGTTAAAAGCAAGAATCAGTTTAAGGAGAGAGAGAGGAATTTGTCCATCAGAACTTTACAATGGAGTTCTTGCTATCTATGCTTTTCACTTACAGAAATTTTGTGCGGGGCCAAAAAATAAAACACAAGTGGGAGGGAGTGACAGAATATATGCACCTGGTGGGGGTTGTTGTGGCTCTGCACTCAGAAAAATACATCCCAGAGGGAGTGCGAGATGGGGAAGGTGAATTTGCCATTCCCTTTTGATTTACAATACCATGTGCATTTTATGGATGACTAAGGGCTTATTCGAGGGTAATTTTGACTATTCATAGTCTATGCTTTATATGCTGATTAGATTTGAATTCTCTGGCAAGATTTGGCTCTTTAAAATGTGTGCCAGACACTAGGCTGAGCAGAAGCAGCTACTAAGAAGACATATCTCAGTCACTGCATTACAGAATAGTTGGGTAGAAAGATACAAAAGCAGACAATTAGGGCTACGGTCCAGGTGAGCCACTGATAGAAAGGGGTGGGTGCAAAGAGGAAGGGAAATTGCTGGTTAGAGAGAGCAGAGGTGGCCCAGGGCCCTGGTGTTGGAGAGAGATGAGGGAGTCATCATCAGATCAAGTAGCTGAGAGTGAAATAGGAGTGGATGAGATCTCAGAGCAGGAGACTGTTGGGGAAGGAGGGAGACTAAACGGCACAGCTGGGTAGCCTAGTCTCCCTTGGGGGCAGGAAAAGTCATAAAATAGAGGAATTTTCAGAGAAGTGAGAGGAAAGCTAAGGCAAGGGGATGAGGACTGAGACGAGGCAAGTGATATTCACAATAAGGAAGTCAATGGTGACCTCTGAGTGAAGAAGCAGAAAAAGGGGTCCAAGAGTGAATGGTAAGAATCTGGAAGCGAAAGGAATATATGCCACTGCTGTCAATTACAGCTCCAATAAAACCAACCTAGACATATCCCCTAGTTCCCCTAGGAAATCCCTCTGGAGAATGTTTGGGATCCCTGGATGCCATGACCTCTGTCCCGGTATGATCTGTTACTGTCCACTGGAAGACACGTCGCCATCACAATACACTGATGCAGAAAAAGGCTTTGGTCTACATAAACTTTGTGTTCAAGCTGGAGTGTGATCCAGCTGAGCCACAGACCTCAGTTGTGGTTGCTGCATTTTGCACTAAACATATCCATGTTATTTTCTTCCATGAGTAGAATCCACATTCCCGCATGACTGCAAATGTGAACTTGCTAATAGCTTCCCTGGAGTTTGCTTCTTGCAATTACCTCATCAGAATTTAGACAAGGCAGCATATAACAATTTATTCCAGGATAAATTCCAGAGAGCTCTGGGTGTTTTTTTTTGTAGTTAATGGTTCCTTGTCCTACTTAGATTGTTCTTTTAAAGAGATTTAAATAATAAGAAAAAAAAATCTCTTTTTTTACGTACCCATGTAGTTACCATTTCTGGTGTTCTTTTCATTCCTTTTGCAGATCAAGACTTCCATATGGTATTGTTGTCCTCCTTCCTTAAGACTTTAGCATATCTTGTAGTACAGGTTTGTGGTTAAATTCCATCAGCTTTTGTAAGTCTGAGA